GGGGGGGGTGGAGACTAAGATCTTGGGCTCTACTACACGAGAACTGATTGTTTAGAAAGCAGAGCACTTCATCTGATAAAGAATGAGGAAGAAGACATAATGGTAAAAGTCAGAGATGGCAAACCGAAGAAATTATACATTAAATATTCCAAAGGACAGCTGTTCCCTTATCACGTGCAGTAAGATTATGTTGATAGCACAATGGGCATTTCGACACAAGTTTTTAAAAATTGTGGTAATTCAGATGAAAGCAGTGATATCAATTAAGAAGGAGGTTAATTTTCTAAAACTAAAAGGGAAAAAAAGAGAGGCTGGAAGTAACAACAGTTTCGTATATATGACACCTGTCAAGTAGAACAGAGCCAAACTTTAACTTGCAGTCCACCATCTTTCTGTTCCCTTGATAACAATTTACGGTCACATTTGCGTATCTCCTCTTTCCTCCTGGAAGAAAAAAAAGGTATGTTGCACCCCCCCCCCCCCCCCCCCCCCCCCCCCCCCGCATTTCCCCTTTGACCGTTAAAAACTTTTACACAGACGCTCCTGAACATCATCGCCCTTGACCATCTGATGAAGGACCACTCCAGCTCGTCTGACCACAACATCTGCGACAGACTGGACGACCTGGAAAAGCAACATCCCAAAGTCAAGAAATCCAGCTACCCTCAGGTTTGTTTATTGTTCGAATCAACGAATCAAGGAGGGGGGGGGGGGTTACACAAAGTACTCAGTTTTGAGAAATTTGACATTAAAAAATTCTGAGTTTCACATGTATATCAGTATCAGGCTTTTTCGAATGCGATACTTTGAATATCTAGTTAATGACTCCAAATAATTTATTTTACGATTTTGATAGATCAGATAGAACATTTAATTTTGGTTTCTGACTGCATGGTCTTTGTAGCTCAAAACGGCCCAAAAAATGTCAGATGAAATTGTGTAATTCTGCGGTAATGAAGTGCTTACAGAGAAATGAAGGACATGACCGACGGTGTCTGCTTCTGATCTGGCACTTGAAGAAGAATGACTAGGCAAAATAACGCCTATTTGTACCTGGAAAAATGAGACAGGTATACAGATACACCAGAAGACAATTAAAAAAGTAGGATCAACAAGTTATGTCCTTCAAATCGAAACACTAAAGTTTACTCATTCTATTTTTAAAAATTTAGTTTGAGTTTAACGGTCTAAAGCTCGAGTTCTCTGTATTGTAAAACGTTCTTAGTGGAAATGCCCAAAATATGTGTCATTTATTGATTTATTGATGTACATTGTATCTAAGTATCTAAAACATATTAACCAAAACAACACACAGGCAAGTGCTTACCAAGGAGACCGAGATCTCAACGACTTTGCTGGCTACTACCGGAACTACGCCTTCGGTGACATCAACATCCGGTTCAATGAGAGTGAGAGCGAAGACCTTCTCATGGATTACGGAATGGCTTCATACAAATTGGCTCCAACGTATGAGAACGACACCTTCGCAGTAAGTCTCAGAGCATACTGTAGTTTGACATTTCCTCAGTTGGTGATGTAAAAAGATAGGTAGGACTTCCGTAACGAGCGACCACTATGAGACAGAGCAGAATTGAGGGCTTGGAGTAGGGGTAGGGGTAGGGGTAGGAGTATGTCTAGGCCTCTTCTTTATTGTGTTTGATGGGGTGGTCACTCGTTACGGAAGTCCTTCCAAAAGATATGTGTTCCAGATTAATATACTTCTTTAAATCAAATGGATTAACTTGTATTTTGTTATTATCAACATAGATCTAGGTCTACTCCTACCGTGAAAAGAGTTCAGAACTCGATCGTGAACCCCCTCAACGCTGTTACTTAAGAAATGGATTTTACTTTTCATGATTGTTCTTGGAAGGCTACAGCAGTGATGTCTCGTTGCCTACTGCCGGGTTTTGTACAGTTTTCCCCGCTAGACTTTTGTCATTCATTCATGCAGATGTTTTTACGTCCCCATCAACACAATTAAGATCATATAGGAGGCCGGCTTCCGACCTTACTTGTCTGGGGCAACCCAGTTGGGGTTTTTTTGTAAAGTGTTTTACGGCGCTTGCAACTGCATAAGGTCAATTATGAGCGCACGGGACACACCTAATATTTTCAGTTGGTAGGAAATTTTGAATTTTGCCCGGGTGGCGGCCGAAGCCTACTCTTATCGATTTTAGACCACCAAGGGATCTTTAACGTGCGCAACTTGCACACGGGCCCTCCGAGATTTTTCGCCCTTGTCCGAGAAGGCTAGGTGTAGATCTTTCCTACCAGAAGATCAGGGGTGTGGCTGAAAGACAGCAGTAAGCGAAGGAGTAGCAGTAGAAAGGCTGCAAAAAGAATCAGGAGCCCAGAGGAAGGGGCAAGGGAGGTGAGGGGGTGGGGGCAGAAAGAGGAGACGAAAGCAGACGACAGAACATTGCCAGAGAGCAGGAAATGAGGTGAACGGAGACAAATTTAGAGAAGAAAAATTTTCGGTCGCTACTCGGAATCAAACCCGGGACCTTTGAATGAGAGGCCAACACTTTAACCTCTAGGCCACGAGAGCCCCCGGGCAACCCGGGATGAGAGAGATACAACATTCCTGTAGAAAGACAGAAACTCTCTAAAGGTTTCTCCCCAGTCGGGAACCGAACTTAAGTCCTCAGTGTGCGACAGCAAAGCGCCTAACCGCTACACCACAGATGCCAATTGTCATCCACTGACAACCCACAAATCAGCGGGAGGGGGGGGGGGGGGGAGGGGGTGGTAGGATTTATGGCGCCTGCCGTTGCAAAGATAGTCACTTCTTTGAGAATACGATCCCACGCTGTTCAGTTTCACGCTCCGAGAGGGGCACTTAGTTGTAGCCGTCTGATCGCCTAGCGTCTGACCTATCTGACCCCTCGCAGAGGGTAATAAATCTTGGCGCGTTACGCCATTTCCACTGGCCGTTCCCGAGATCTGACCGCTCGACGCGGAAAGGGTACAATTTCAAACTGGAATTTACAGCATCTACGTTCATCCACACCGGAAACCTAGGAGTGTTATATACACCATAAAAGCTCAGCATCTCCTGTGTAACCCGCAGTTTGAAACAAGCTTCTGTCTTGTTTTGTGTTCCCTTGGGATGTTCATACTGCCACTGTTGTACAGCTGTGTGTTGTGGAATTTTTCGGATTTAAAAGCGGATTTTTATAAATCGAATCGAACACACTTTTTGTTGTAATCTTCATATATATTTCTTTGGATAAATCTTTACTCTTCAATCTGGTGCAAAATCTTTGGAGTTCTCTTATTTACGTGAACTAGATCTAGCGTACTTTATTTGACTAGTCTAGTGCAACGATTGGTGCAAAAAAACAAAAAAACAAACAAAACAACTTTGTGAAACAGAAATTTGCTGCCTGATCTGACTTTCTTGGGTGTTTACTGTTACAGAGCCTTTTAATATAAAAAATGGAACATTCTTATAACCTCCACTTTGAGAATTTAAACAAGCTGTGCCGTACTTGTGGTGAAAGAAGCTTAAAAACTAAAGTTTCCAAGCAGCGTCGATTTCTGTGCGAAAACTTTAAGCCTGACTTAATGTTATATTATAGACTGAACATCAACAATGACAGAGCAGACAAACATTCTAACACTCTATGTAGGAAATGTAGCTCGCGGATCTACACGTTACGAAAGCAAATTAGCGATGCAGCTTTGCAGGCCGCACACAAGTGTGTAGAAGACAGTGGCAATATATGGTCCGCTTACGACGAAAGCACTAGCGTTGATGAGTGTTCTGTGTGTGCTCGCTGTGTTAAACTGAGCAAAGGGTGCATCAAGCAGCGCATTCCTTTGCTTACGGAAGGACACGAGTTGCATTTTCCGTCCCCGGCTCGTATGACAGTGGAGTCTGCGAGTATAACGGATACCCCCACCCCAGATGCTTCCTCTGTAAGTGCAGGGGATGGTACTCAGCCGTTTCCCACCCAGTCTACTGACAGCACATTTACACATACAGACGATGGTGCTCAGCCGTTTACCACCCAGTCTACTGACAAATCACTTACACATACAGACGATGGTGCTAAGCCGTTTACCACCCAGTCTACTGACAGCACATTTACACATACAGACGATGGTGCTAAGCCGTTTACCACCCAGCCTACTGACAGCACATTTACACATACAGACGATGGTGCTAAGCCGTTTACCACCCAGTCTACTTATAGCACATTTACACATACAGACCATGGTGCTCAGCCGTTTACCACCCAGTCTACTGACAGCACATTTACACATACAGACGAAGACTCGTTTTACACTTCACAAGAAACTCATAATTTGACATCCACACCTGAAACGAAGACAAAACAGTTCGTAGATAGCGCCAGCTCCCCATTATTCAAACATGAAACTACAATAGAGTCAACACTTTTTAAATCTGTCACAGATCCACTTACACCGTTAGAAGAAAAAGTTGCTACACATCTGATCAAAAGAAAGCTCCACACATCTCAGATAAAAGGACAGTTGAGGTTCAAAACAAAAGGACAGCCATTAGTGTTTCAAAGGATAATCACACACAGAGTATCGTCAGACGTAGCAAGCGCATCGACGAGAAAACGAAGAACAAATATACTGAACAAAGTCAGGCAGTCGGTTGCCGGTAGGAGTACAAGCGCCATAGAAATGCAGCACGTGTCGGACCTAAAGGCACAGAGAGGGAACATCAGACGCAACATTTTACACAAAAGTGGGACATAGAGAAAAAATAGTCATAGGTGTGCAAAGTTTGCTCTTGACATGGTAGACGTACTTGGGTTGACACGGCGTCAGGAAAGACAAAGGCGCGAACACCAGGAGAGGGAAATTCAAGAAGAAAATAATTGTTTCAGGCCTGGTGTAGAAATACAGAAAATCAACATCCACTCTGAGCCGGGAACAAACAGCTCGCCAGAGAAGCCACTAACGACGTTAAATTCCCAAAGTCTACTACTAATCCCCGACTCAGATCTTCAAAACTTTGAAATGGGCCTAAAAATGCGCAAACTGCCGTAATTTTGTTATGGACAGATGGTATAACATTGGTTTTTGGTCTTCTATCATGATTTTGGAAGCCATTGATGAGTATAATCTAGATCTAGATTTAAAAGTGGTCGCTCGTTACGGAAGTCCTCAATTGAAGAATTTAACGTGCTAAAGTATAAGATCACCCCACTAACCACTGTCTTCGACCTTCAGGAATATATCTTCCGTCTTGTAGTAGGTCAGTACAAAAAAAATTTGGTGGCTATCAAAGCGTAAGTTGTTTGAAAGTTCAGGATGCGACTGTTAGCTGAAGACTAAAAATCAGTCTTCTCTCCTGCACATTCCTAACAAGGGATGTTGTCCCGCCATATCTGCACGTACTGTTAGGAATTGCACTGAAATATCACAACCTGATTGAGACAGCAAAACACAGCAGGCTAACATCGCTTGCCTTTGATGAGTATATGTGAGGCAGCCATAGGGCGAAAACATAGAGAACGCCGATTTCGGAGACTGACTCAGTAAGCGCCGATAGGTATAAAAATTCCCTTATGATTTCCAACTTGCCCCACATAGATCTGGCCGACTGCAGGCGGCTTTAAACTCGGATCGGAGTTGTCGGCTTTATCGGAATCCAAACTACATTCTTAGACACAGCAGGCTAACATCGCGTGCCTTTGATGAGTATATGTGAGGCATATCTCGATTTGTATTCAAGATAAATGGATGTTTTTTTCATTCAAATAAAGACAGCTTTAAGATGATACCAATAACTCTACATGCCCAAAAATTGACGATCTCCAAGCCTGATTCCACCACGCTGCCTCACATATGTGTCAAAATGTTAATTGATAAAAAAAACAACAACTAGTAGATGAAAAGTAGAATTATTATAAACGCTGTCTCGTATTTTCTGAAACTGAAGTAGATAGGCACAAGTATCGGAAGAAGGTGGAGAAATGTGAGAACGAAATAATTCATCAGATCAAAACCATTGCACTCGCTGTAAGGACAGGCCGAGAAACACGTAGCTTGGAGAAAGTGTTTGAGCTTATTGAAATAGTCCTACAGGCTTATCACAGCAGGTCGTTTATCGGCAACCACTGCCATAAATACATGCAACAGTTTACACACTAATATCACCAAACACATTCACTAGTTCACAGTAAGTCTAGCACCTGACCAACGCATAGCAGACAAAGCTCGGGAAATAAGAGAGAAGTTCAATGCACTCAACAGTAATTTTTCCAGAATTCCCCATGCTATCTCACACAAATATTCAGAACATATTTCAATTTGCGCAGACATTTTTTTTTCTAAGACTATTTCGCAAGTCATTTCTTCACACAGTGTCACAAAATAATTCACGTGCAGAAGCGCAATTGGCTGCCATTTATGAAAACCTGGGGCCTTGGCCTTGGCATGCTGGGCGAACGAGGGGGGGGGGGGTGGTGGAATACCCCATGCCAGGATAGCCACTTAAAGCTGCAGCCAGACTGCGGATGGCGCTGGCCTGGGGCTGCAGCTGTATCAGGAAAACATCAAATGTAGACATCGTCGGAATTAAAGGCCGCACTCCCTGGCCCGCGGAAAAACGCAGGAATAAATAAACAAGACCACAAGACGATTCACGGATAAAATCTTAGCTCTTTTAGCTAGTTTTGCTGTATATTTATCATACATAAATTATAACTGGAATTACATCAGTTCAGCTGTGAAAGTGTGAAGAATAGTCCCCCATCTCAAGTGAAATGTGCCCCTGCGTTTGACGGATCAACTGTTTTCACATTCAGCGACAAGGCTGTGTCATGTACATTAATAAAGGATAGCAACAAGACTTCTCGCCTCAGGGGAAACTTCAAAACGTAAGTTTCAAAGTTCGGGGTGTGACTGTGAGCTGAACACTGTACAAATCAGTCGGCTCGTTTAATGTTTAATTTGAATTATTAATTTTTTAAGTATCTTTGTAACAACCAACTAATAATGGAAGTCGCATTCCCCCTCTTTTAAACTACTCTTTCTTTTAGTTCTACTCCGTGACAAGAATTATACTGTCCTAAAATATCTCCATGTGATCATTTGGTTGTTGTTTATTTGACTTTCCCGGCTGTAATAAGAACGGTCAGATGTTGTTTTATGTGTACAACAAAACATAACGTCGCGGGTAAACCGCTGACCGCCAGGCAAAGCGGCCGCAGGTTGCTTGACCCGGGCTTGACCTCGTCTCAGACGGAGGTCAGGCAAAGATACTACACCCCACCCTACGGTACTATCTTTGGGTCAGGTCAGCCGGCAACTAAGTGATCCTGACTGGAACAGCGGTTAGTCGAGTATGAGGTATTTGTTGAAGCACCAGTCCTGTGCCACCAGGGTGTGTGTGTGTGTGTGTGTGTGTGTGTGTGTGTGTGTGTGTGTGTGTGTGTGTGTGTGTGTGTGTGTGTATGTGTGTGTGCGTCGTGCGTGTGTGTGTGGGTGTAGACATGGTGAAACACCTGACCAATGTGCCAGGATCTGGACTATAAAGATGTATCTTATCTTATCTTACTCTCAGAGAATTTCTGGACCACCGATACCAAGCAGAAGAACTGGCTGTCATTATTCCAAAAAAAAAAAAAAAACGAAACAGAAAAGCCACAGTGTGAGATAATATCCCGTTTGAAGTGATTGTCACACAAGAAGAATAAAGCGATTAACCTTACCTAAAGACCAGGTGCCACTGAATGTGAGTTAAATAGAACAACAAGCCTTGTTGAGTCATTTTTACAAAAATCTTGCTGCGAGCAGTGATGGGGAAAACGAGAAATCGTCTAAGACAAGAGATATATATCTAAAACACAATTCGGCTATTTTCCTTCCTGATAAGAGTTCCAGAAGTGCTATTATATTCAGGGAAATGATATAAGAATTATTAGGAATTTGTACTAGGACCATCTTGCTGCTGTAAGAGTTAGCGGAGAATACAGCGAATAGGCCTATAAGCAGATTAAAATAGGAGTGTAGCAAGGGTGCGTTATGCTACCCGATCTGACAATCTAATATTATATCTAATTGCCACAACGACTTGATGGTACGGTATACAGAATCCGTAAAGACGCCGTTGTGTGTGGTGGGCGGGTGTTCTGGTGTAGTTTGCTCCCTCTTTCCTATCAAACATCTATCGTCCTTATCTCCCTTCCTCCTTTTTTGTGTTTGTTACTCTCTTGTAACATCTCTAATCTCCGGCACTTATGACCTCAGTGTGTTGCAAATGCCGTGAAACTCTTTCTAATACTAAAAGAGGTCGTTCTTCACCATAATCTGCTTCCGGAAAAAGTAAATTGTGTTGCTGGCGTCTGTGGTCTAATGGTTAGGCTACCGGACCCGTAATCATGAGATTGCAGGCTCGACTGCGGTTCGAGTCTCAACTTAGTCCGACCTTGTGTCCTTGGGAAAAGGCATTTTACGCGAATGTCTTATTTAGTCCGTCCTTTCGGAGATGGACATTAAACTCGGAGGCCCCGCCTCTTAAATAACCTAAAAGTGTTGATAGGGGTGTTATTGTTTTAGTACAGGTTTTACGGCGCTCGCAACTGCATAATGTCATATGAGCACAGGTAGGGGTGTTAAACCTATACCATTTTTCAATTGTGTTGTATTCTTTTCAGATGATCGCGCAGCCCGGCCCACTGTGGTACTCAACCAACACAGACATGACCCGTGGCCGTCTGTTTGCGGTCTTCAGCACACATCCCCTGGACGCGGAGCGAGTGGAAACGGTCACTATCGCAGGATTTGACCGCAACATTGACCCCCAGTTCAGCAGGGACCCACAACGCCCTCGTGTGGAGGGGCGCAGTGAGCCACGCTGCGGAGCTTGTAATATCGTCCTCTCCGTGTGGTGCCTAGCGGTTCTCAGTGTTAGTCTCTTCTTCAGATAATTATTTTCTTCTTTCAAATTTAGTCAGATTTACACATCAATTAATTGACGATTGTCTTAGACTGTTGCTGACGCGTAGCGTCAAGTCATGATTTTAGAGGCACTTTTTTAATAGATAGGCCTATGCTGGGTAAAAACAAAAAAACTTTTCCATTTTTACAAGAACAAAAAAAACCCCCAACCATTACTGACGTAAATTGAAGCTCATGCAAAACCTTCCTTTTCGGCAAGGTGTTTTGGCAGGTTGTTCCTTTTCTATTTGTTTTCTTGAGTAGGAAGTGCTCTTCGTTTTAAAATAGGGTTCATTGTGAAAAAAACAAACATATTTGCAGCACATTTTTAACGCTGTATTCTAATTGTGAGAGGTGTAGTTTTAATGGAAGGTTTCATCAAACGATGATAGTCGAGCTGAATATAAATACAAATACCTGGATAATATGATGTATGTACAAGAACTGGTCATAAGGAAACAGACATTTGACCAGATTCTTATGGGGGGGGGGGGGGCAATATTTGAAACTACAGAATAATCTGAATGCCATACTTGTTCAAACGCTGTAGTTTTTTTTCCAAAATGATGAGCACTAAAATATTGATAAAATAGGAGAAGTAGAGTAGAGTTATTTTTATAATGGCATAAAGGCTTGGGCACACCATAATTCCTGCCCTGTCACTATTTATTTCGTTTAATGCGACATTTTCTTTGTTGAATGCTGTGAGAAAATATGAGAACTGTGTGACTTTTGTTTGATTGGGTTTTGGTTCATAGCTTTAACATAGGTTTGCACGTTAAAGTGAGTGAGGTTTTTGTTTGACTGAATGGTACATCTCATTGAATTTCCCAGAGTATGTTTCAACAGTTCTGTTTTTTTGAGGTTTTTTAATTCAATAAATACTATGTAGTTCAAGACGGTGGTACTGAAGATAAGTAAGTTGAGCACTGAATTCCTCATTCATTGGGATTGCGTCAGCAACATATGACTAGAATAATATCTATAGTCATAAATTGTTCCCCTACCATTCTGTCAAGAGCCAGGGAGGAATATATTAACTCATTGATGGGGATTCAGTGCTGAGAGAATGCAAAGACATCTCACTGAATTTGCAGCTGGACCGGGAATGAAAAGTACCTACACGTGGAAACTTTCACAAGAGAGTTTGCCCCAAAGGGAACAGCTTTCCCACCAGACATGATGTACCATTTTCTTTCTTCAGTTCCATCATATTATAACACACCCACCCACTGTGAGAATGTTTGCATGGCTGTTGCGATGATAAATATTTATAACTTGAGTGATGCAATTCTAATGTTCATATTATAGCAAATGCTGAATAGTTGTGTTTATATAGTATCATAATATGAGAACCATGAAGGAGGTGGATGACACTGTAGCTGTTTCCATGTATTGCTTGCCCGGCAATGGGTACTAGAGCGCTTTACATTATAGATAGCAAAGATTGTTCTCCGATTCTGAATGGGTTTTTTTGTGTGGTCCGTACTCTCCCTAGTGTATTTATGTATTTAGCTTTTAACTCGTCTTCCTCAAAAGTGACAAAATACTTATGTTAAGAATTATTATAATATGATTGATTCCACTGTCTTGATAGATAACAGTATTTCAGCAGTGTTTTGAGCATTTAAGCTCCATATACAGTTATTTACATGTCGATTCTATTCGCAATATACTTCACTTTCTAATTGTATTCTTTACAATGTGAGATGATAGCATTTTAAATGTTATACTCTTGCCAGGTTCCTGTTTTGTTAGAGGAATAAAAATGGTAGATTTCATTTCAACAGATCTTTCTTGCAAAAAAAAGAGTGTAGCCTAGTGCATATTAGAATAATCTTCTCAGTTCCCCAGCACCATGGCATGCGATACCTTAACAATGTAAAACAAAAACTGCTTTGGTGTGTTTCTTTAGGTAAAGAAGTAGTTATCAAAATAAACTGCAAAGTGCATCTCATCAAAGGATGCGTAACACCATTATTCATATAATACATTACCACAAATTACACATAGGTCACATGCATTAAAACACTTTCATAAGTGCAGAGTATGGAACTTTTTCGAACAAGAAATTTTCAATCTCTACGATTATTTTGACGTGTGTTTATGTCATTCTTTTGCACAAGATATCTGTTGCATGCAATTGGTGAAGTGCCCATGTATCTTTTACCGGGTTGAGGAACAGATATTTCTTCTTTTCTTCTTGGCAGCCATGTTTCTACCCTGCTTCTATTTATGTAGCCTACGATTGCACTTGTAATGCATTTTCCTCAGTACTATTGCCTTCATTGATTTGCCATACAAGTATATTATATATTTCTGGGTTTCATTTCTTGTTTTAAAAATGAATAAAACAACTAAAACTTCACTAAAAGGATATCTGACTTTTCATGTTCGCAGTCAGAGGGGTTTTTTTTATAGTAAAGGGTTTTACGGCGCTCGCAACTGCATAAGGTCATATGAGCGCCAAGGGGCGGGAGTCAACAGAGAAGTCTTTACAGGGAATCAGACTTAGACTGCTCACCTCTCTAGCTTCAACAGCAGAAGGTATGCTTCGACTATCAAGGCACCCCAAAGTAGCAGGCCACAAGGGAGTGACAAAATACAAAAGAAGTAGAGGAAATGACAATAGTAAGGATCAGGAAAGAAAAAGCAGCAGTTCCCTGTTGTAGATTAGGCACAGTTATGAGCGTGACATGAGTCAGCCCATTTACAATTCTACTAGGCTTGAACGAGATATGTCCCCCCTTTGGGAACGGCCTAAAGACACTTCAGTCAGTGGCACTGCCCCGGGGGGTAGTAGTCAGTGTGTGGAAGGTTCAAAGAAATGAGTCTCACTATCTGGACTGTCCAGGTTCAATCCCCTCTAGATTCCTAAGGAATGTAGTTTGAAGGGAATCTTTTTGTTTTTTAAGCAGAGCGTTTTGTGGCGCTCACAACTTAATAAGGTCATATGAGCGCCAAGGGGTGGATGTCAACAGAGAAGTCCTTACAGGGAATCAGACTTACTCTGCTCGCCTCTCTAGCTTCAACAGCACAAAGTCTGCTTCAACTATCAAGGCACCCCGTACATAGCGGGTCACAAGAGTGTGACAAACATACAAAAGAAATAGAGGAAAATGACGATAGTAAGGATTAGGAAAGAAAAAGCAGCAGTTCCCTGTTGTAGTTCATGTACAGTTATGAGCATGACATGGTTGGATCACCCATTTACAATTCTACTGTGCTTTAGAACGAGAAATGTCCCCCATTTGGGAATGGTCTAAAGATACTTCAGTCAGTGGCACCGCCCCGGGGGGTTAAGGAATCTTTAAGGTTCTCTTTGTGCACAAAAGTACATTAAGGCCTGAGTGCTGCCTTTCAAATTACCTTTCTGGTTGTTAAATATTATCAAAAGAAAACATGCTCAAATAGTTGTTTGAGATACAGAAGAGAGTATTGTTAATGATTATATCCATCGCTGAAAAAAACAGTTTAGCTCTTTGAGTGCTTAACACACAAACTAGATATCTAATTCCAATGGCCTTTTTTCACAGAGATGAAGATGTTAAGCAGTCTCACTGACCAGAAATGAAAACTGACACCCCCAAAAAATGTAATTACAAACTTTTTGGCCACTGTGCACCAAGGTACTGTATTGCAATATTTGACCTGAATATTCATTTCAATAAACATCAAAGAAGATCCCATAGAGTTAAAAGAGTAAAACGTATTCGTTGTAGGACAGCATTAAGTTCAAAATCTAGTGGACTCACATGAGCAACTCTCTTTCCTACTAGTAAGAACAGAACATAAAAAGACAAGTTATTTCCAAACCACAGGGTGATTTATTGGCATGAATCTCAAAGCTTTGACTCTTGAATTCTTAAATATCACAGAAACTGTAACTTTAAAAAACAACAACCTCAATAAAGACTTAACAAACAATGAGACACTTTAACATTTTTAGGTAAAATCTGAAATAAAGAGATAAAAAAAGAATCTTTCTAGAAATCCACAGAAAATACTGATGATACATATATATATAAAAATACAGGTGTAGCCTACATACAACCACCCCCCGCCGAAAAAAATAAAAATAAAAAATAATCTCCAAATCTCCGGCATTATGCCAAAGAGAAATAACAATCTCGAAAAAAAAAACAACCTATTAACAAGAGCAATAAAAAAAGAAATAATGAGAAGTGTTTTTGGATGAATTATTCCATGAAAACACACATAAGTCTTGCATCTTAGTTACCTCATTTATAAAATGTATGTACATGGTTCAGCAGTATTATAACTCTATATTGTAACTTCAAAAAAAGTTGACAATATTATGAAAAGAGTGAAGTAACATGACCTGGATTACAGAGGACACAGGAAACAAAAGCATTTTTTCCTCGATTAATTATAATTTCAGCTTAAGTCCAAAATGATACCAACCATAACTTATGATCCATTGAACTTTTCAAGATTATGAGCATACAACAGTAGTATCTGAAATAACAATAGACTGATATTCCTATATTGCCAAAAAGCACAATTTTTTTTCTCAAGATTTTGAGCGTACAACAGTAGTAACAAAGATAACAATAGACTGATATTCCTATATTGCCAAAAAAACACTTTTTTTCTTCTCCCTTTTCGACTTTCATGTTGGAAGCCAACAAAGAATGTCTGAGTTATATCTTCCACTTCTTGAACGTAATTGTACTTAAAAAACCACCCAAAAACATAATGCTTTATTTGTTGGGGCATGATCAGTTTCACAAGGACATAATATTACATTTGTAGACAAAAGACTTACTCCATTTTCACGCAATGCTTGGAACCAAGAATATTGTGCTTTATTTCCACATAGAGCTCAACTTCTCAGAATCAGGATCTACTTTAAAAGAAAGTAATATTCTATGGATGTCTCAACCATTTCATATACAGTTCGTCTATGTGCTCCAAGCAGGCACTCAAGCCTACTTGTTCTCTGACTATCTCGTAGGGAAAGGATGATAAGGTGGTAAATATAGGACATTCCTATCCTTTTTACGCACTCCAAGTAATGCAACACTTTCCCAGCAATGTCTAAATTTAGCATGACATTACCAGTACACGTACAATTATTTGCCATTCATTATGATCCTTCTCTATCGGGAAACCTCTCCAAGTAATGCAATTCCTTCCCCGCAAGGACTTAATTTAGAATTATATTACCAGTACACACACAATTATTTGCCATTCATTGTACGATCCTCTTCTCTATCGGGATACTATGGATAAAAGCAACTCTATATTCTCGAGTTTACTTCTGTATTTCAACAGCAGATTACATCTTTCAAACATTTTTTGTGCCATGCAAATAAAGAAACGCAACTCAATACAACCACAGCAGAATCAGTGACTACATGAGCAAAGTCACTCAAAACCATCGACAGACAACTTGGATCTTTTCACCACTAAGACCCAACAGCCACATGCTCCTCTAGGGGCACATAACTCTGTGATGGAATGAAGTATTTCTGCGCTGACTTGAGAGTGATGAGGATAGGCTGGCTGAAGCGTGGGTGGAGAGCATCGATGGCAGAGGGGAATGGGTTCAGGTAAACTGGTTTCATCGGCAAATTGATGCTTGGTACAAAGCCATTGAGGTCACCAGGAGCCGGATGCCTGCCACGGTTTGTGATGACTGGCATACGGAAGTCTGCAAAAGACCGAAAGTTTAAGTTTTAGTAGAGGTTTTACGGCGCTCGCAGGATGTCAACAGAGAAGTCCTCACAGGGAATAAAACTTACTCTGCTCACCTCTCTAGTGTCAACAGTACAAAGTCTGCTTCGACTATCAAGGCACCCCGGAAATAGCGGGTCACAAGAGTGTGACAAACATACAAAAGAAGTAGAGGAAAATGACAATAGTAAGGATTAGGAAAGAAAAAGCAGCAGTTCCTTGTTGTAGTTCAGGCACAGTTATTAGGATGACATTGTTAGATCAGCCCATTTACAATTCTACTGTGCATTAAAACGAGAAATGATTCCCCCCTTTGGGAATGGCCTAAAGACACTTCAGTCAGTGGCACTGCCCCGGGGGGTAGAGGGGAAGTAACCAAAGGAACACTTACAAATCACGTGTATGATAAGTTCATACATTCCAAATGAAAAACCCCAGCCTCCAAGAAAAGGCACAAAATAACAGAAACCCTTCCTCCTCAGCTAGCTTAAATTGAATACAGTGAAAGTTGAAAAAACTGTCCATCATGAAGGGGTCAACTCTTTATCTGACATCGGGTCGAGCACATTCCTTTACGATGACTTCGACATCAAATTACTTTTCAGCAATTGCCGAAAACAGGTCTCTTATATCCAAAGTTCTTTCATTAGACACGTTTTTCTCATTTTTAGATTTAGCACAAAAAAAAGAACCCCGGCATAGTGGGTTTACCCCCCTCTAAGACAAAGAGTTAAACAGAGCCCAGATTCGAACTAAAGCAAACCCCGCTCTAATAAATGAGGTCAAAGCTTATACCCTGACCTGTGTGTAGAACAGTCTCTCGCTCCGGCCGACACTTGCTTGTGTGCATCTCACCCAGCCGCACCAGGGCAGGTTTGCTGTGGGTCAGATCAAACAGTTCACTAAATAAACAAGTTCAACCAGCTCAAAGAAAATTTTTCTATACATATTGTCATCAGGTATGAGTTTTTAAAAATCTGCAAAGCTGTTTTACTATCTATACATGTAGGCTATATTTTCATTCCAACTACAATTTTCCGTGCCCTGTAAACAACCCCAATAGGAAACTTATTAGGCTTCTAACTATAGATCTGAAATCAATACTCGTAATATGAGAGGTTTTTTTATAAAGTTCCAATCACTGCCTTGAAAACTTAGGTCACCGTTAAATGAGCCTGACTATAAATAAAAAATGGGTTTGCAGTTTTATAGATGGGGTAGAAAGGTAGGGAGAAACTTCTCCTTTCTCAAAATATCTTTGAGGAATGAAGTCTAAAAAAGAAAGAAAAAGTATGGTAGAAACCAAATACCAGATAGGAGACTCCACATGGTTAAGCTTGATGCATAGATTAACAACAGACAATTTTTTTTTTCTCTCAACTCACTGAGCAATCTTTGGCAGGACCAGCACTGTATTCTTGGCCTGCACAACTGTCTCTCCCTTCTGTCTTCTCATTACCTCCCCTCTGCGCAGTGCCTCTAACTCCTTCTCTGTCATCATCTCACAGAAGTAGTTAATAGAATCAATGTAATTCACAGACTCCATGATGGATGAACCCTGCAGCTGCTCCAAAGTCACTGGAGATAGTGTGTACAAACATGAATAATAATTAAGGACTTTTCGTGGTCGACACATAAAACTGTCCCTGTGGTTTTATGCACCCAGCATGGAAAAATTTTATCATTTTTTTCATAATTTCTGATTATTTTCCTTTATCATTCTTTGTTGAAATTAACAGAATCACATAATTTCACATTTTTGGGCTCAGTTTGCATAATTTCATAATTTTTCTTGCATAAAACGACGGGGACAGATAAGCCGCTTCTTTTGACAGTTCCAAATGGTCTGCTATAACACGCTCATATGACCTTATGCAGTTGCGAGCGCAGTAAAACCCTATACTACTAACACATACTTTTTGTTTCGTTGTATGAATTCAAAATAGTTGAAGACTTCGCGGAGGAAAAAACCCAGCAGAGTTACATTTTGGTGATTTTTGGAGAAATCCTAAATCTCCATTCCTTTTTATGAGGGCCCTACTGTTTTTCCCCCTTTAAAACTTTAAAATTTTGTTATACTAAACTGTGGTGTCTTAAAAGCCCCCATAAGGTTTAACTATAAATAATTTTTTTAATGAGACCCCATGTTTTTTTTTTACTTGAAGTCTCATTTGTCAATGGCTTTTAATATTCTGACACTAAGTTGATCACAAAATATGGATAAGGAGGGTAGTTGCGGGACAATAATCTTTGTTACCTGTAACACTGCCATGGGACATGGCTGAGACTCGTCCGCTCCTGGCTGTGGTGGGCAGTTTGAGGGTGCTCCCTCCATCTGGCAGAGTGGTCAGTGTGTCGTCTCCGGGCATCATAGAACTCTGGGTCAAAGAACAGAAAGGTTACAGAAAGTGGGGGAGGCCCCACAAACATACACATGCATCCACACACACACACACACACACACACACACACACACACACACACATGCACACACACACACACTCACGCATACACCCATACACACTCTCACAAACATACACATGCATCCACACACACACACACACACACACACAAACACACACACACACACACACACATACACACACACACAACACACACCCATACACACTCTCACAAACATACACATACTCTCACACCCACACACACAACACACACACACAAAAACACACATTTACACACACCATTCATACATACTTTTACGCTGAGCATTAAAAGATATACTCTTTGTGTTTATAAATCAACACACTAAGACAAACACATCAAAATGTTTCTTAACGCTTGATGAAAAATAATTATTATGGCAGTCATGTTGTGATGCTGTCATCAAATCTAGGTCAAAATGAAAGGGAACAGAAATAGAAACGTGGCAACCAGCAGTGCACTCGCAAAAGGCGGTGGTTGATTTATTAAGGTGTTAACCATGGCAGGTTTTACTAGAAATTGTAACTGTAAATGTTTTGCACTTCCACCGACACAATTTTAAATCGTTTAGGATGCCGACTGCTTCAACTCTGTCTGTCAGTGCCAACCAAGGCTGAGAAGGATACAATATCCCAGTGGACAGATAAAGATACTTTCTTTCTATACGAATCAAACTCACTTCTTCTGAGTGCAACAGCATAAAGCCTAACTGCTACACTACAGACGCCGGTACATAATAAACTTTACTTTACTTTTATCCGCTGCCTATACCCTTTTGGGTGTCGGGGGAAGAAAGAGACGTCTCTCTGCCACCAGCTGGAGACCTTGGGTCAGGGGGATGCCGTGAGTTGTTAATGTTTCCCTGACTCCATCTATCCAGGTCTTTCTCGGTCGCCCTCTAGCCTTGTTGCCATCAAATTTTTTTACGTAGGCACGTTGTACTGGGTGGTGTGTTGGTAATCACATGAGATGTCCGAACCATTTGATTCTTTGGTGTTGGAAGTGATGCATGACATCATTTGTGCCCACCATTTCTCTGATTACTGTGTTTCTAATCAGCAGAGAAATGGTGGGCACAAATGATGTCATGCATCACATACATAATCAACATAGTGAGAATTCAATGGTGATAGAAAAGATGCCAGTAGGAAATGCGCTTACCCTTCTTGAGCTCCCAGCACCCAACACAGATCCTCGGTGAGACAACCGGCCGTGCAGTGAGTGACCCATATTGAGCTTGTCTACCGTATCCTTAATACGCAACTTGTACGATGTCATCCACCTGTGAAAAAAAAAGAAAGGATAGAATTTTTTATTTCCCTGCCTTCATACATTAAACATTTTTATGTGACGCAAAAAAAGAGGCATACATATATATATATATATATATATTATATATATATATATATATAAATTGAAGATAAATTTTATCTTGATATATCATTATATCATGTCTGAAGTTTTTCCAAATAAGAAACAAACAAAAGTTTCAAAGTTTCCACAGACAAACAACACCAATATGTACCGTATATATCTACAATAAAACTGATTAGTTTTTATTTGTTTGTATTAACTTTACAGCAACAAAATTAAAAAAAAACACTGGAAAGGCACATCATGAAATCATGAGCTCGGGCACATTCCTTTATGTCGACTTCAACATCAAATTACTTTTCGCCAATTACCAAAAAGACGCCTCTTATACTGGGACTTCATTTTTTAGATGAAGAACTATCAAAATAAGTTTACTTGTTTCGATTTAATTACCAATTTCGTGACGCATATGTCACTTAAACAGTTCGTACCAAAAGAGGGTTTACCCATTCGAAGATAAAGAGTTAATAAATCGTATGCTCTTCTCCAGAATACAGTAATAGTCCACTCAGGGTCAAAGAACTTAGTCCTCCGACAAAACCATTCTCTCCATAATCCACATCAGATAAGATAAGATAAGATAAGATAGTACTTTATTATCCCAGAGGGAAATTTTCCTTGGCTGTACAGGACCATAAAAACACATGCAGGTATACATTAAACAAATTTTAATCATATATATTACTCTCATTAAAATTCAATATGAAAGGAGAAGTTAAGCTGACAAAATGTACATTTACATCAAATGCATCATTCAACCACATGCAGGAATTTAAATACTAGACCTTTGGAGTTATATACAGATACATACTCTAAGAGTAACACACATCTATGCTCATTCTGACAAAAGCCTTATGCTAGATGGTAAAAAACTTTTTTTATATCTTTCTTTCTTTGATAAGGGTCCTAAACAATCAAAGTGCTATGTTAACCCTATACGTACCCCCTGGGGTCATTTTGTACCCACGGGTTGCATTCTTCACATTTTAGAATACTTCTAGTGCGAAAATCTCTTTCAAACTTTCCGTATTTCTCAAAAAATCATTTAGACAGACTGCTATGCAAAGCGTACGGATCGGAAAAACGAGTAAATTTCCTCTTTGGAAAGTGGTGGCACAGAGTTCCCCACGTCGTATGGAAACGATAGTAAAACACGACGTACGGATAGGGTTAAGTGGTGGCACAGAGTTCCCCATGTCGTATCGATACGATAGTAAAACACGACGTACGGATAGGGTTAAGTGGTGGCACAGAGTTCCCCACGTCGTATCGATACGATAGTAAAACACGACATACGGATAGGGTTAAGTGGTGGCACAGAGTTCCCCACGTCGTATGGATACGATAGTAAAACACGATGTACGGATAGGGTTAAGTGGTGGCACAGAGTTCCCCATGTCGTATGGATACGATAGTAAAACACGACGTATGGATAGGGTTAAGTGGTGGCACAGAGTTCCCCACGTCGTATGGATACAATAGTAAAACACGACATACGGATAGGGTTAAGTGGTGGCACAGAGTTCCCCACGTCGTACGGATACGATAGTAAAACACGACATACGGCTAGGGTTAACCACTCACCTGTCCAGCCACTGGTTACACATTTTGTGCAACTCTTCCCGGTGGTTTTTCTCATCAAGGCTCCAGATGTCCCAGGAGTCTAACTCTTTCTGGAACTGTCTGTGGGGGTCAGCCAGACCCAGGTTGGTCATGACCTCCAGAACAGAAGCCCTAAGAGACAACAACAGCAATAATAATAATAACAATAACAATGTAAATAATTATAACAATAATAATAATAATAATTTTAAAAATAACAATAACAATAACAATGTAAATAATAATAATAATAATAATAATAATAATTTAAAAAATAATAATAATAACAATAACAATGTAAATAATAATAATAATAATAATAATAATGATAATAATAATAATAATAATAATAATATTTTATAAAAATAATAATGATAAAAATGATAACGATAAAAATAATTTCAATAATTGCATTAATATAATGCATATCCATGCTCTACAGCATGCCCGGTGTTAACAACTTACAACTTTTATTAGTCCAGCAGACCCTAGAATACTCTGAAACATCCTCTATTTATCAGGCGGAATACAGTGCAGGGGGGGGGGGGGGAGAGAAAGGGAGAGGATGAAAATTAAAAACATATGTGAGGCAGCGTGGTGGATCAGGCTCTCGTCAATTTTTTTGGGCATGTAGAGTTATTGGTATCATCTTAAAGCTCTTTCACTTGTCTTTATTGGGATGAAAAAAAGTATCCATTTATCTTGAATGCAAGTCGAGATATTTGCGAAGGAAGGAGGTGGGGTCACCTGTTTTCAGAGGTAAAATTAGTGAGAAAATGGCTGCCAAAGATTAGTTATTTCCTTAGTTTAAGAGTCCGTGGTAACTGATTATTTACATTTTTTGTGCCTTTAATCAACGTTTTAATGAAAAATCCACATAGAAATGAGTTCTTTAATGGGCATGAAAGGTGTTGAGCCAAAAAACACAAATTTGACCAAAATTCACAAACCTGCGGAAAAATGCAGGTTTCTTCACTTTGATTATTTTGACGAGAGCCTGATTCCACCACGCTGCCTCACATATATAAAAATATATGTTTTTCATCATATCTTACTTGACCTTACATAGTACACAAAAGGTCTTCCGATAATGTAAAAGAAATACAAAGCTCAACACACAACTTGGATGTTCTAAAGACTGGTCATCATCTTCATCAGGAGCTATTCTCAATTGAACCTATACCCATAAGAGCTGAGGGCACAGAAAACATGGGCAGTTGAGTTGAGCTGACCATTCTACTATAACCAAATATAAGTGAGTGGGTCTGAGGAAATCAGGAATACGCCTCTGGGCCATTTTGATTTTTTGTGCTTTTCTGAACGCTGGGATCTTCTTGATTATTACGCCCTTAAAACTTCTCTATTACCTCTTCTAGAAGATGAGATATTGCATTGTGAAGAAACAAAATGTGGAAAAGTAAAATGAGAAAAATGCACTCAAAGTTAGGGCCTACACCAATTTTGCTTTTTATATCTGAATGCAAATGGAAAATAACTAGAGAAAATATATTTTAAAGTGGTTTTTACAAGAAACAACTCTTGAATTATTTTCTAAAATGGTTGGGAAATCTCCTTGTACGTAAAACTCAAAATCAACCAGAACTGACAACAAAATTGTTTTTTGCCGATATCTGGGTTCGAGGTTTAGCGACATATTTCTGGTTTTCTCAGACCGGCTCAAATATTTTCACTTTGTTCTCCTCTACAAACCTGATATCCCGATCCCCGTCCAAGAACTGAACCATCATCTCCGCAATAACATCTTTGTCCTTGACGGCAAAACTTGCCAGGGCTCTGAGGGCGGACATGATGAAATCTTTCTGCTCTTTCACAGAGCATGTGGGTGGTGTGCTGTGGTGGTTTAGCACCGAGGCTAAAGTCTTCACGGCTTGAATGACGACCGAGTCTGAGAGCCCCTCCTCTGTGTGCACCAACAAAATGGCATCGGTGACGCTCACTTTATGCAGCCACTCGGCAATGCGGAGTAGCTTGACGATCATGTTGACAAAAGTGTCGCTGGTCCAAGGTTTGGGCATTGTCTACAGAGAAAAGGTAAGGAAACAAAATATAGAATAGGAAAAGAGAAAACGGAGTCGGACAATGAAAAAGCTAAACACTGTACTGTGGTACAAAGCTAAAGGAAGACAAAATGAATGGTGGAGTGATAGAAGCGATAGAGAAGTACAATTGCACAATAAAGGTCATTTAGCAATAGGAAAATGCAAAACCAAAATAACAGACAAAATAAAGAAAGAAAGGATAAGACAAACATAGAAAAATACAATCTTCTACTAGTGGCCAAACTTTATCTGTTTTGATTAAAAAACCAACTTAAGATTACAGATGGACATCCTGTCTTTCAAAAGAAAACGGTGATTTTCAAAGAAAGCTCAACACTCCCTTTCAGTGCAGCTGTAGGTGTGACGGTTAATTGCATAAGATTCAGTGGGGAGAAAGACAAAGAAACAGGGTAATTCACAAGGGGTATAACTCAAAATATTGCAAAATATGATTGTGGCCATTCTTTTACTGGAGCCTTCATCGTCCCTATCAATATCAACCAACAGATACTCCAAATGACATTTTCTGTCTGAACTCTTAGTTTTAGTAAGTGTTTTACGGCACTTGCAGCACAATAAGTGCCCAAGATTAGAGGTGTTACAAGAGAGTAACAAACACAAAAAAGAAGGAGGGGAGATAAAGACGATAGACGTTTGATAGAAAAGAAGAAGCAGTGTGGGTGGTTGGCGGGTGCTCTGGTGTGGTTTGCTACTTCTGAACTCTACTCACATTCTCATTGCAGTTAGGAAAATACTTGTCAAACCACTCAGTGCCCACAAACTGTTTGATGAAGTTTGGCAAGGGTGTGGGAGGTGGCGGAGGGGTAGGTGAGCGGGGTGGAGTCGGAGTTCGAGCCTTGGGCTTGGGCCGGCTGACCAGTTTTTGAATTGGTTTGGCAGGTAAAGCCACAGGTCGCTTGATGGGTTCCGAAGGTGTTGGTGTTGGGGTAACTTTCTCCTCAATGTCCTCCTATTGGAACATGCATAGAGAGAAATCTATTGTTATACAACGTACATGAAAAATCAGAGCAAAGTGGGGGGGAAAAAAGAGGAAGGGGAAAAAAATTCAAGTACACTTTACAATACACTTTTTGGTGACAAGTTGTAAGTCAAAACATCCAAGTCTTAATTAAAAGAAAATAATTTCACTAGATACTGTCATGAAATGAAGAATGTGAGTTTATTTTCAGCCTCTGCCTGCTCGGTTTGTAGGAGCTTCACAGAGGAGCATCCTTATTCCAGTATCCAATCAGCCTACAGTGATAGAAAGACTACAGACAGAAATGATTAAGAGATAGAAAGTTCCAAAAAGTTTGGCCAAGCAGATCTTAAAATCATCAGTAGGCCTATTGCTGCTCCAGTGGAATGACACAGATGTCTGTTTTATCATGTATTCCAATGTAAAGCGCATTGAGCTACTATTTTGGAAATGCGCCATATAAATGTTATATATTATTATTATTATTATTATTATGTCTTATTTCTACGGGACAAAAAATATTTATTATACAATATCCTATTTGATAATTTCTTATCAATTTCAGTTTTATGATCAGTGGCAAAAACATAAGAATATTATACAAAAAATGAATACATTACATTGTTTGTACGCTTTGGAATGAATTATCATAGTAAAACGTATCTTTAGATCAAAATACATATCTTTCCCATGCAAGACCAGGTTTTCAGAATATTATCACTCTCCAAAGTAAGAATGCTTTTATGGTTTGATAAGGAAAAAGAAAACCCAAAGTGGAGAATATAAACACAACCAATTATTTCCCTTACGTCAGAGGGAAAATACACTATATCTTGGTACAAACAACCAACGAATAAGAGCAGCCAAAATATGGCAATTATTTTGCCAAGTAGCTGTAAAACTCCATAAATAGACACATAATTTTGTAAGCTGGCAGTAAATTATAAGGCATAACTATAGATTAAGGATAAAAGCCCAAGAATGATGAACAAAGTTGAACACACTCTCATAAAAAATAATATCTTGGAGGCCCAAAAGTTCAGTCTTAGAAAAGCCAATGGCTCACATGTTCTAAATTTTGTATTGAGATCAATAAGTTTACAGCAAAAGGGTGTTTTCACCAGACAGATGAAACTGCATTCTAATCTAATCCAATCGAGGCATCTCAGCAAAAAGATGAAAACAATATCAGCATCAAACTATACCACAACAGCATTTGCGAAACCTCTAAAAATAAGCTTCTATAGAGGAATCCGACAACTAATGCACAGAACAAAAGACATTTCTCACTCCCAAAATGAAAGAAAAAAAAGCAAAGTAAAATGACAAGAGATGACACAGATGAATTATTCTAACAAATAAACAAAAAAACAACAACAAACAAACAAACAAAAAAACAAAAAGAAATATGTACAGCATGAAGAGTTCTTCAACCCTCAGCCACATCCCCCAATAATCCTCTCATTCTGGATATCAAAGAAAATAATATTATGCGTAACTCAATGTGCGCTCAAGGAAAGTCAGTTCCAACAGTTGAATCTTGATAATTATATACAAAAAAAAGCAAGTGTTACTTCTCATGGTGACACATAATAGGCTTTGACAGCTCTAACAAAGTGTCTCAGATACCAAAGTCAAGATCCAGAAAAGAAAGCCAAAAAGTTCAAATGGTTCACACAAAATTCATTGATCTGTTTTCCTCTGCAGAAATTAACATCCTACTTAACCCTATCCGTACGTTGTGTTTTACAATTGTATCCATACGACATGGGGAACTCTGTGCCACCACTTAACCCTATCCGTACGTTGTGTTTTACTATTGTATCCATACGACATGGGGGAACTCTGTGCAACCACTTTCAAAGAGGAAATTTACTCGTTAATCCGATCCGTATGCTTTGCATAGCAGCCTGTCAAAATGATGGTTAGAGAAATACTGAAAGTCTCAAAGAGATCTCCGAACTAGAAGTATTCTAAAATGTGAAGAATAAACCCTGAGAGTACAAAATGACTCCAGGGCATACGGATAGGGTTAACATAAACTTGCTGATTTCAAAGACAGAAAACATTGTCCCTTTCAGAACACCAGAATGATGAGCAATATACCTGGATTGACAACAGAATTCTGATTTCCTTTTTATTTGAACCTAATCTCCCCATTTCAGAAAACTTCTTATCGAATACCGTTACAGTATGGTACCTTCATTCCAAAAAAGGCACATCGATCCATAGATATCTTTCTATATCTTTCCTCAATGAGCACGTGTTTTTTAAAAATTATTCATAAAACACTGATAACTATCTTTCTTGATAAAAGATCTATTAAAATAAAAACGATCCTAAATCAATAATGTTCTGTTTGCGAATTTTTAATAAGGCAACACCATCACCTTAGGGTTAGTGCAAAGGACAGTCAATAATACATCTGACCAAAACTTTAATTCTTTCTTGTGTCTGGCAAGCAGAAGGAATAACAAGGTGTTAATCTCTGTCCCATGAGAGAGTACATGATGACAAGCCCAGACAGAAAATGGATAAATTCATTTTGAGGAGCTAAAGTGTTAACGTATTTTTTTTTGTTCACTCTTTATCTATCAACGAGAACTGAATTACTGATGCTGAAAACCTTATCCACAACATTTTTGTTAATTTCTTATAAAACACAGAATAATAATGAACACACCAGATATATTATGCAAATTACAAATGACAAACATGCGACCAAATACCCTTGTTAGAGAGAAGCTTCAGATCAGTTAGATCAAAACCGTTTGTTTAAAGCATGTACATTTTTGTTTGTCAAATTAATAAGTCCTTTGTATACTATTGTTCTTTTCAGTATATTTATCTGAAATAATCAAGTATCTCTGCAAGCAAACACTTTGTGAAAATTACTTTTGAAGACTTAATTTGAGAGTGGGGAATTAAAAACTTTTATAACATAGCTAGGCATGCTTCTACAGCTGTTAGATGGGGCAAATTTTTACCCCCCCCCCTCCCCTCCCCTCCCCCCACAAAAGCTTCATGACATTCTTTTTGTTCCAGTATTCTCAACACGCATGGCTTCATTACCAGTGCAAAGCTAAGTTAGACTCTTTGAATCACAACCTATAATGCTTCCTAAAAAAAATATTTCTGCAGTCTTTCCTTTTCACTTACCATAGTTATCTTATTTGTGATAGTCTACAGGTAAGAAATGACCTGATAATAATTTTGTGTACACTGGATAAAATATGTCCTCAATAGATGGAGAAAAAGAACATGTCCTTCTTCATACAAAATAATCATCACTTCAAATACATAGCCCACAATCGATAAGCTATAAGCTTGATGAAAATTTCCAGTTGTTCAAACAATGTCAGATCATAAGGCATAGGTAGAAAATGAAGGACAAGGTTAAAGCCAGGAAGATAAATGTGAATATATATGATACTGTAGGCACCTGTACAGTTTCTGTAGCTTTGTCAATTTTGTGCTGGAAATCAGGAAGGAATTTGTTAACGTGTTGGTTTTTTTCTATTGAATGATGCTTCTGGTAAACATTTGTACACAATAAGAACATAATTAACATTTTTTTTTCTGAAATGGAACTGAATAGTTTGTTTTTTGATTCAACAGCCACAAACTATTCAAAAAATTATGTGAAAATTATATCATAACCCAAACTGTACCTTCAATATGAAACTCATAAAATCGTATCCAAATATTCAAAGAAAAATTAAAATTCCTCGTTGTTTTTATAGATCCCCACCAGGTGAAATTAAAATAACACATCCATTAACCAAATACCAAGACCAAAACCTAAAACCACTAGAAAACACATACCAAACCTAACTGACAGTCACATATTTCCCAGTAAAACAAGAAATACATCAATTATAACAATGTCAATTCGAGCTGGGGGAAAATAAGACAATAGACAGAACTATCATAGGAATAGATACAAAATTGGACCTTACAATTACATTACCAAAAATCTACTAAAAGTTAAAAAAACTAGAATGGTAAGAACAAAATAATAAAGAAGGCAGCCCCCCCCCCCCCCTCTAAAAAAAACCCAACAACAACTAAAAACAAAACAAAACAAAAAACAAACAAGCCCAAAACAAAAACTTACAACATCAGATGCCTCTTTGTCCATGATCTCCTGGAACTTGGACATGAGTGACGTGGATTTCTCGGACAGACCCGGACCTCGGCTGAACATATCGTCTTCATCATCATCTTCTTCATCCTCCAGGAAGCTCGTCTTTTTCCGAGACAAGCGGGACTTCATCGGAGTTTTAGGCGTTGTGAATCTTGAATCTTCGTAGGCAGACAAAATGGCACAATGAGACGATTGTAAAAATGTTGTGAACAGCAAGTTCAAGTTTATGAATGATGTAAGTGTTGTATGACAAGCTTCCTAGAGTAGTATGATTTCATCACACAGTTCAAAACCCAGATTCGCAACATTCTTCAAAGCTTCTACACTTATCAAACAATAGAGACCCCAACTGAAAATAATAATCAACTTGCTTTTGTTTTCATCTTCTTCTTCTTCTCGATCGCATCACACTTGAATTCTGGTATCGGTCATAAATTGGGCCGTCCTGCTCAGTTCAACTGGCGGCCTGTATAGCTTCTCTTGTAGCGTCAGTGGGGTTGGCCACGTTTCCTGTCTCAGGGCCCTTTTGTTTTCAAAATTTAAATCTTTCAACTAAAATGTACTCACACAAGAGTAGAGAAGACAATTTTTTAAAAAGGAAAACAACTAAAAGACAAAACTAATTTACATCAGAAGTGAAATCAAATTTCAAACAATGCTGAAACTTCAAACTTCAAACTCAAACCAAGACGAACAAATGCAACAGCCAACCTGGCAGGTCAGAGAATGTCCTAACTGTCAGGGCAGATGACCTAGCTGGTGTCACTATAGTCGCGGCACCGCTCGTCGGAGCACCTGCAAACACAACGAAACAGGGTTACATGAATAATAATAATAATAAATAGCATTTGTATAGCGCATATCCCCGCTCAACAGCAGGCTCTATGCGCTTTACACTATATTATTACCCCAGCAGACCATATAAAACTCCGAAACATTCTCAGCTTCCCGGGAAGCATACAGTGCAAGCAGCTGATTAAGCACTCAAACACTAACAAAATGACAAGATCTTTCGCTGTCTATAGCCGAGTACCCATTCCCACCTGGGTGAAGTGAGGAAAATTCGTGTTAAGTGCCTTTCCCAAGCCCTGACGGGATTCGAACCCACGACCTTACGGTTGCAAGTCCGAGAGTCTAACCACTAGGCCACCGACGTCACATGAAAACACCAAAATAAAAATATCTCTGCCTAAAAAAGAACTGCACCATTTTCTATAGGAGCAGCAATTTTTTTTCCGCACAAATAAACAAAAAATGTATCTTCAAAATTGCGACTGGTCCCCAGAAAGGAAAGAGGCAGAAAACTGAAGAAGAAGAAGTTTTCAGTCTCATTACAAGTAATATCAGAGCTCTTTACGGAATTAAAACTTTTTATTCTTATCCTTCATGAGCCAGATATGCAACATAAAAGCAGAAGAAATAAATCACATCAATAATATTCACAAAAAAGTGGAATTTGACAATAATTTAGAGTATATCTGCCCTTTCCAAAATCTCCCGTAATGCTCAAATGAATACTGACACTTGCTTTTCATTATAATCATGAAACCAGCCTCCATGATAAACGAAATCAGATAAATTTTTACCTCCAGAGGCAGAGTCCATGACAGGCCTCATACTCTCATCAAACTCAAACGGAACTGCAGGCTCCATATCGGTCTCATCCGGAGTCTTGGCAAGTTCCTCATCATCACTCAAATCTATCTCCAGCACACGCGACAGATGGTCATCAGCAGCAAATGTCACCGCTCGACTGAAGCCAGCGTCCTGGGTCAATTCAGAGCCCCGGCGACTACCTTTCTTCTGTGAATAAATTGTTCATCAGTGAAAAAGAAAGAAACATTGGCAGCGGGAATCCAGCGCAGCATCAATAACTGCAGCTCAACAATAACAATCCATATCTCTAAAGGACAACTACACCATGGCTTTCCCAGAATCAAATTTTTTTCTTTATTTTTGCAGAAGAGTAATAAATAGAGTAGATCATTTGAAATTTCTCACAAAGTCTTGTATATAGTTTGACAGATTAATACTTGGGACATAATTTATGGGCTATATATAACAAAGTTAAAGGCATACAATTTTGGATAGGACTTACCATTAAGAAGCAAATAAAAAGCAATTAAATATGAAGGTGAAACTGAACAATTACATTTTCACATATGCCATATGTCAGAAGTACTCCCTCAGGGAAAACTTGATTTATTGTGGTCCAATTCTTTAATATGACAAGTAATACAAGTTGCAAATGCACTTTGAGACAACTTTCAGAACAAGCTGGTTCACGAAAAGGATAGTTAGAAGATTAGAGAATTTCATCAACAATAATTAGTTTGTTAGAGTTTTATGGCACTTGAAACATGATACGGTCATTTAATATAATATACATGTATATTACACACTATATTTTATGTGTACGTGCATAATTTTCGATAACGAACATAGCAAGACAAAATGTATCATCACTACTTCCCAACTCATCCCCACGTGTACTCACAGAATGCAGACTGTCTATTTCACCCAGCTGTTGGGCTGTCAACTCTGGTGGTTTGTACGGGGTTGCTTCCCTTGAGGGTGCTTTGGGTTGCGGAGGCGGGTACATGATTTTGAGGAGAACAGAATTGGGCAGGAACCCACATGGGGTTATGGGATAGGATGGGTGCAAGGGGCTGGCATCACCATCCTCATAGAGATACTTCTCACTGAGTTCAGAGAAGAAACCATATGGAGCTGTCTCTGGCCTGTATTTGTCTTCTCCTTCTGCAAAAAAATACAATAGAATATGAATTTAGTTCATATTACTCAAATGGCACTTTACAGTTACAGTCACTTGGTGCAATAATGGGCCGGTAAAAACGATCTGTTCCGGTCCCCTGGCGCACTTGCAGTTTCTCTCCTGGCTGGGTGACCAGATGGGGTATTTTGTACTGCTGGCTGTGTGACTGCAAAGTGATAAACCCTTACCTGTTTAACCCAACAAAAATCTATCGGTTTGAAAAAAATGCAGCACATGAGTTGAACCCAGCCAAAACCAGTCATGTAGGCTGCTTGTTTCTCTTACTAGATTCCCTCCAAAGATTAGAAATAAATCACTGATATTTAAGTTGAAGATCGAGTCACTAACGCTCAACTGTGGGAGAGAACAAGCCAAAGGCCAGTAAAGGAAGATATTCAGGTGAAGAAATGGAAATGGATTGGACACACCCTGAGGAGACCCCCGACAAGCATCAACAGGCAGGCTTTAACGTGGAACCCACAAGGAAAGCGTAAGAAGGGAAGACCAAAGATGACATGGAGGCGAGCGGTACAAGCGGAAATTGAAAAAGCGGGGACATCATGGAAACAGATAGAAAAGGATGCTCAGGACAGGCTTCGCTGGAGTAATGTTGTTGATGGCCTGAGCTCCACTGGGAGTTAAAAAGGGCAAGAGAGAGAGATTTAAGTTGAAGTTTCATTTGCATTTCCTGCGAGGAAAGTCTGTCAGAGCCGACTTCAGTTGTAAGAACATATTTCTCTTTCATAAAGAGTAAATGAATAATAAAAAAAAAGGAGGCTGATTGGTGCTCTGTAAGTTAAACAGAACAGGCGGCCATTGTTAGATATAAATGTGAAAAGCGAGGGGAAAAGGTGCTTAAAGATATGGCTATTTTGTTCAACAGGAAACATTTTGTGCTGGAATGTCAAAATAGAAGACGAGCTACAACACTGTACAATTTTGAGAGACCACTTCAAAGTTTTGTCAAGTGGCATACCTGATACCCTTTCAGATAAAAGTATTTACTTCCAATCAATTTCTCAACTGAAATGAACTCAGACATGTCAAAGCTGTACTTTCTGAGGAAACTTAGGTCTTTCAATCTGAATCCTTCCATCTTTCAGATATTCTACACCACCACAATAGAAACTTTGATCAATTTTGGTACCACTTGCCATGGTAGCAATTTGGGAAGGCAGCACATCATAAAAATGTACAAGTTGATCAGAAAGGCATCAAGAACAGTTGGTAGAGACCTAAGTAACTTTGAATATCTGAACAAAACAAACGTTCTAAAAAATGCAGAAATAACGCTAAGTGACCATAGCCACCGACTGACATCAGAATTTCAACTATCGACCCGCAGTAAACGATACATTTTCAAAAAAGCAAGAACAGACAAATATAGCAATTTATTTGTACCAACTGCAGTGAGGTTACTGAACACGCAGTGCTACAAATGAGAGAGAGAGAGAGAGAGAGAGAGAGAGAGAGAGAGAGAGAGAGAGAGAGAGAAAGAGAGAGAGAGAGAGAGAGAGAGAGAGAGAATGTTTTACGGAGCGGGTTGTCATGTATTTACTAATATCCTGTCTTGTTGTGAGTGTATGCGTGAGTGCACCTTTGTAACATCTACTGCCATTGTTAACGACCAAGACAAATTTCTCCCAGCGAGATGAATAAAGATTGTCGTTGTCTTCGGAAATATTTATGTTGGATCTTCTGAGGTAAGAAATGCTAGAACAATGTTTTGTTGAAAGAAGTATTCTTTGCCATATCAACAGACCGAAGGGCTAGAACCCAAATGGCCGCTGGATCGGAAAAGTAAAGTAAAGTAAAGTTGAAAGAAGTAACGTTTGAAAACTAAGATTTTAAGATACCTTCTTGTGTTTTTGTTTCTCCCACTAACTTTTTCTGTAGTGCGTCTTCATCAGGGTCAGGGGGTAACTGAAAAAGCAAAAAGCAAAAATCAAAATAGGATATGCTTTTGCATGAAACAAAATGTTACCCAAGCAGAATCTAGTAGGAGCACAAAGTTAGTTTGGGACCATAGTAGAGCACCAGAAATTTGGGCACATTTTCTGCATTCGTATATCATGGAACAATAAGAATGGATACCTTGCGGGCTTTGGTGCTGGGGGGAACTGAGCACTTATGGACCTGTCCGGTGTGCAATGACATTGTTGCCCAGGACAGATAATACAGGTAATATCATGGAAGCCCTTTCACAAAACATTTCTTATTTTTGAGTTCTCAAAAGAATTTATTCTGCATGCTACTGCTAACCAGTAGTATTTCCTATAATCACATAGGCCCCTACAGGTCAAATATTATCTATATTTATCCAAAAAAATAGAAGAGAAAACTCCAAACTATGTCCTTGTTCTATAAAGAAATAAGAACCTCAACCCATGCCCAACTAATTTTAACCGTTTAGCCCTGCCCCACTGAGCTGACAGGACGATGAGCACCTGGGACCCCTTGGGCCAAATGCTAGAAAGGTAAAGGTTTGTTCTCGTGCCCATAGGTTTAAACAGAGCCATGGCAATATTCTGTTATATAGAGATACTTCAATGCTCACATGCTGACCACAGCCTACCCTGTTTTTTCTTGGTCCTTTATATGTTTACTGATGGCTCTATTCAAAGACATATATATATATAATGAATAAATCTAAAGACAAGACAGGTATATATAAATGAATAAATCTAAAGACAAGACAGGTATATATATAATGAATAAATCTAAAGACAAGACAGGTATATATATAATGAATAAATCTAAAGACAAGACAGGTATTTATATAATGAATAAATCTAAAGACAAGACAGGTATATATATAAATGAATAAATCTAAAGACAAGACAGGTATATATATAATGAATGAATCTAAAGACAAGACAGGTATATATATAATGAATAAATCTAAAGACAAGACAGGTATATATAAATGAATAAATCTAAAGACAAGACAGGTATATATAAATGAATAAATCTAAAGACAAGACAGTAAGAAAACTACAAGGCTTCCTACCTTTTCTCTCTCCTTGTTGTAGTACATTTTCATGTACTCCCTGAAGGCTCTGTTCTGGGTCCGCTTGGTAGACTTCGGCTTATGTTTGCTGATCAAAGCTCCATCCCTGATCTGAACCAGTTCACTTTCTCTGTTCTCCAACATCATGAAGGCCTGGGGAACACAGAGCAACATATTCAACAAAGTTCACAGTTGTATCCGCCACTGTTCTTGTCAAAGAGGTTATTTTTTAAATAGTTTTTGAATATATGAAAAAGTTTGGGAACAGTGCATGGCTTTACTGTAGCTTATTTCGGACATCCTACTTTTTCTTCCTCGACATGTGTTTTTGTACCCCCCCCCCCCCTTACATAGGTCTACTATTTTACCTCATTATCAAATCTATCTTGAGAACCTAATGATACCATTCAAACAAAATGATGAATTTTCAAATATTTGAAAAGAAAGATAACAAGTTAAACTGTTATAAGACATAAATTTTTAAAAAAAGCTTAAGCCATATGATATCTTTAAAAAAAAGATATTCAAGTAATACTCAGAGACAGCAAACAACAAAATCATAATTGTTTAAAACAAGGCACGTTGGAATGTCAAGACATAGAGATAGGGTGATAGCAAGCAGGATGCTTAGTCTGTACCTTGAGGTTGGAGCTAACTTTGAACACTGAAGAGGCACAAAGAATATATGAACATATACGAGTAGTTGTCAGAAACATGTTACGGGTTGAGCATGTGGTGAAGCTTCTACTCTCAAAGCCAGAGGAGCGATAAAAAAATGTTTTTTTTCCCACTAATAGGGCATGCAGCGTTGCCCCTTGCCTCTCATTTTTTGTCTTACTTCACACCTCTTCCTTCTTTTATGTCAATTTATTCATTGAGCCTTGGGTCAAAGAAAAAAAAGAATTCAACAACTTAAAGTGTGAAAGCCATCATCAAAAAGACCTAATGTGAGGCAGCGTGGTGGAATCAGGCTCTCGTCAATTTTTGGGCATGTAGAGTTATTGGTATCATCTTAAAGCATGTTCACTTGTCTTTATTTGGATGAATAAAATATCCATTTATCTTGAATACAAATCGAGATATTTGCGAAAGAAGTAGGTGGGGGTCACCTGTTTTCAGAGGTAAAATTAGTGAGAAAATGGCCTTCAAAGATTAGTTATTTCCTTAGCTTGAGAATCCGTGGTAACCGAAATTTACATTTTTTTGTGCGCTTAATCAACGTTTTTCAGAAAAATCCACACAGAAATGAGTTCTTTAATGGGTATGAAAGGTGTTGAGCCAAAAAACAAAAATTTGATAAAAATTCACAAACCTGCGGAAAAACGCACGTTTCTTCACTTTGACTATTTTGACGAGAGCCTGGCCTGATTCCACCGCGCTGCCTCACTAATTATGTTGTAGGGATTTCTACTTATAGTACAAAAACTAAACCCAAATCACACCCGACAACTGCACAGAGGCGAGGTAAAGAGAAGACAGAAGGGAGAGACAGTTGTGCAGGCCAAGAATACAGTGCTGGTGCTGCCAAAGATTGCTCAGTGAGTTGATATATAGTAAAAATGTTTCTGTTGTTAATCTATGCATCAAGCTTAACCATGTGGAGTCTCCTATCTGGTATTTGGTTTCTACCATACATTTTCTTTCTTTTTTAGACTTCATTCTTCAATGATATTTTGAGAAAGGAGAAGTTTCTCCCTACCTTTCTTCCCCATCTATAAAACTGCAAGCCCATTTGTTATTAATAGTCAGGCTCATTTAACTGTGGCCTAAGTTTTTTAGGCAGTGATTTGAACTTTAAAAAAACTCTCATATTATGAGTATTGATTTTAGATCAATAATTAGAAGACTAATAAGTTTTCTATTGGTGTTGTAAAGTGGGCACGAAAAATTGTAGTTGGAATGAAAATATACATGTGTTATGTATAGATCATAGAGTAAAATAGTTTGGTATATTTTTAAAATTCATACCTGATGACAATATGTATAGAAAAATTTGCTTTGGGCTGGTTGATCTTGTATATTTAGTGAACTGTTTGATCTGACCCACAGCAAACCTGCCCTGGTGCGGCTGGGTGAGATGCACACAAGCAAGTGTCGGCCGGAGCGAGAGACCGTTCTACACACAGGTCAGTGTATTATCTTTGACCTCTTTGTTAGAGCAGGGTTTGCTTTAGTTCGAATCTAGGCTCTGTTTAACTCTTTATCTCCGAGGGGGGTAAACCCACTACACCGAGGTTCTTTTTTTGGTGCTGAATATAAAAGAACAAAAACGTCATTAAATGGGTCATTAAATGGGTCATTAAATCGAAACTAGCAAACTTAGTTTGATAGTTCTTCATCTGATGAATGAACTTCCAGTATAAGAGACCTGTTTTCGGTAATTTCCGAAAAGTGATTTGATGTCGAAGTCGTTGTAAAGGAATGTGCCCGAGCCGCTGGGAGCAGCTTGCCGGAGACAAAGAGTGAGCGCTTTGCATCGGGCGAGCTATAATTCAAAAAAATACTTTTGCTTACTTCTTCCTTCATCTTCTTGTCCCTCATCACTTCCTCTTCCTCTTCTGCACTCAAGATGTCCACAAAATGCTCAAATCTGTAATCAAAAGAACATCAAAAGTAAGATATAGCTGCGATGATTTAACTAGCCTAACAATAAATTATGAAAAAGAAGACTGGAATATATTATATATATATGTGCAAAAGATAACCATGTAAACTGAAGATATGGCAAGAGATCAAAAAGGAAAAATGACCAACAAAAAGAAAGAAAAAAAAAGCTCGGTTCCCACTTGAAAAATTCTACAGTTTTCCATGAAATCTACATATGTGACATGGTGGTTATGTTACTAACTTAACAGCTCAAAACATTGGGCAATGGTCACAGTCAAGCACAATTTGGAATTATAATAAGGACTAAAGTTATGAATGTCTTGTAAAAGTGGAGAGAATTTTGTTATTAACATTGCTATCTGACTTTGAATTACAATGAAGAAAAAGAACATTGGAAATAGTATTTTAACAACAAAGTAGAATAGGAAAACTTTTAAATTTCTATAATTTTTAAAGAGGGACTGACTTGAACGAAGCATGTGAGTTCTTCAGCCTCTTCACATCATTTTTGTCCATTTCATTAAGTCTGTTCTCATCAAACTCCAAAGGTGATTCATCCTTCTTGGACGGGAATTTCATGCAGACCTGCTTCCGGATATAGAACTGTGGCAGATCTGAATAAAACAATAAAACAACAAAACATTTGTATTGGCTACATGCTCGTGATCTTCAGGAAGAGCAGGTGAGAACCAAAATAGGGAAAAAAAAGCTTATCTTCATTTGTTGCTTGTAGACCAAAATCTAAAACAGAGTGCAAACAATTTATAACCAACATACACTCTCAGCTAAAATTTCAAACCCATAGAGAAATAATTTTAAAGATCTTCATTGAACTTGATGAGCCTGGCATTTCAAGTCCACATAATATATAATGATAGTGGAACAAGTAAATTCCCCTCTGTACAGAAAGAGTGCAAAACGTACATTTTTTAAACCTTCCATTCAGTATGAATCTTTTAATATCTAACATAATTTTCCTTCATTGTATAAAAACAAACCTACACCCACAAATATTAATGAAAATAAAGGCGTTCACGTGCTCAGGGTTGCTTACATTTCTTGTGAGATATGTGGAACAAATGGTTGGAGATTCCCACCAGCAGATCTCCCTCAGGACTGCAGAAGGCAATGCTGTGAGGTATGGTGTTGATCTTTAGGACTCTGAAAGAAAAAATTCAAAGGAAACTAAAAAAAAAACAACCCCAAAAAACAACCAGCTTTTGGCGATACAATATTCCTCTCTAGAATCAGTTAGTAACAGTATGGGGGAATTTTTGAGATAGGATGATTAATGTTTTTAATTTACTTAATGACAAATTAAGCTGTCACATTCCATCCAATAACAAAAATCTTTTTCAGCTTTATATTTAAAGTAGCAGAGGTAGCTGAAAACATATCAATACTTATCACTAAGAAGAAATAGGATAAAAACTGTCAGAGCTTATTCACTGAATGAAAATTAATCAACACCACGAGTTTCCTTATTTCCAAAAGTATAAAACCTATATTTGTCACATAAATTAACACCAGTGTCAGTGGTATTGTGTTGAGACCCTTCAATGTTACTGGCAAAAGATTTGAATTCAATACCTTCATGCAGAGCCCATTTTGTAGAGTATCTTCATATTTCTGCACGGGTACTGATCTTTCTGAGCCCTGAGTATACTGGCCCTGCCCTGACAAACATGGTTACAGATCCTTCTCAGCCCTGAGTATACTGGCCCTGACAAACATGGTTACAGATCCTTCTCAGCCCTGAGTATACTAGCCCTGACAAACATGGTTACAGCAACCCACCTTCCAAACTATTAATGTGAGGCAGCGCGGTGGAATCAGGCTCTCGTCAATTTTTGGGCATGTAGCGTTATTGGTATCATCTTAAAGCTTATTCACTTGTCTTTATTTGGATGAAAAAAATATCCATTTATCTTGAATACAAGTCGAGATATTTGCGGAAGAAGGAGGAGGGGGTCACCTGTTTTCAGAGGTAAAATTAGTGAGAAAATGGCCCACAAAGATTAGTTATTTCCTTAGCTTAAGAGCCCGTGGTAACTGAAAATTTACATTTTTGTGCCTTTAATCAACGCTTTTCAGAAAAATCCATATAGAAATGAGTTCTCTAATGGCCTTGAAAGGTGTTGAGCCAAAAAACAAAAATTTCATAAAAATTCCCAAACCTGCAGAAAAAGGCAAGTTTCTTCACTTTAATTATTTTGACGAGAGCCTGATTCCACCACGCTGCCTCACATTTGCGTCAGAACGCAGTGAAATCAGAAACTCATCAATTTTTGGGCATATGGAGTTATTGTTATCATCTTAAAGGTTGTTGATTTGCCTAGCTATCAATAAAAAAATACCCATTTATCTTTTACAGGAGTCGAGATATTGGCCATTGAAGGAGGTGGGGTCGCCTGGTTTCAGAGGTAAAATTAGCGAGTAAATGGCCGCCAAGGTTTGGTGGCTTCCACAGCCTGAGAGTCCTTGGAAACTGCAAATTTAAAATTGTTGTGCCTTTAATCAACATTGTTTGGATAAAATGCACACATAAAAGTGTTTTTGAATGGACATAAAACAAAAATTCGAAAAAATTTCCAAAGTAGCCGAAAAATGCCGGTTTCTCGGATTTCCTTATTTTGACAAATACCTGATTTCACCAAGCTGCCTCACATTTAAATAGAGTCAAAAGGGGAGTAATTCATTAACAGTAGATCAAATAGTAGGATACCACATGCAGACAGGGTCAAACCAGCTTGCCACAAGACAATGGGGAAATAAAGCAGTTACAGTTAACTTACACCTACTACCCACCTGATCAGAACATTCTGAGCATTCCAGACCCGGATGGTTCCATCCATACCACAAGACGCATACAGCTTCATTCGAGGGCAAGAAGTCAGACCAGTGATCAGGTCCATGTGGTCGTCATCTGGCTTGTGGTCACTCCGGTCTGCTCGGGAGGGAGGAGGGGAAAGCAAAGTCATTTTTCAGCCATTCATTTCTTCAAAAAATAAATATGTCTTGATACCTCAGTTCACTCTACATTTCCATTTCAATTCTACATGTGTAGAGTGATTTCAGATTTAAGAATTTGCAGTACCCCCCATTTTTTACCCCAAACATTTTCAATATCCTATATTTTCAGAACACTACATCTTCAGAGAACTGCATTCTCAGAGGAGTACATTTTCAGTTTTCTGAATGTTTGGTACTTCATTTCAGTTCTAGATATTTTCAGAAAATTATATTTTCAGAGCATTAAATTTTTTAATCATTACCTTTTCAATGGGCTACATTTTAAATACATCACAATTTCAGTACAGTCTTTTTCAGAGTACTAATATATTTATGGTACATTTCATTTTAACATGACTGCATTCATTAATATTAAACAATTTCACTTCACCACATTTTTAAAGCGTTTAGTTCAATACAGTGACAACACATGACAATGTACAAAAATTGAGTGATTTAATAAGTATTTAGGTTTTCCCTTTAAACAACTTTTCATTTCAAACACACCTCAGTGTTTTAACGAAATCATCAACACAGACAACATAACTGAATAGTATTTTTCATCGTTCTGTGAAATTTCAGACATATCAAAAGCTAGTACATCAGTACACAAGTGCAGAAAGACGAGCCTTCAAATTTGAATCATTTTAATCAAAAGGAAGAGAAAAAATTTAGAATAACAGTACAGAGATCATTTAAACAAAATTAGTTCAGGAAATAATTGATAATTTAAATTTTTATAGAACTGAAGTTGAATGAAAAATTCCTTTCCCAATCTGCACACTTGCACTCAATTAATTATTTCAAATATACACTACACTACAATTGTATATATATCTTTTCAAGGCTTACCATTTCTATGCATAAAATAGTATGCTGATCTAGGCAAAGAAATTAACTGATCACTCTACAGTTTAAAAAATCATGTGCTAGAGAACAGAGCTGTACAAAGTATTTTTATTTGAGGCGTCTGAGAAGGTTTGTACTGAAAAAACAAGTAAGCTTGGCTATAAAAAGCATTTTTGTAAGATCTTTCCAAAATGAAACATCCATACATATGTATGTGTGTGTGTGTGTGTGTGTGTGTGTGTGTGTGTGTGTGTGTGTGTGTGTGTGTGTGTGTGTGTGTGTGTGTGTGTGTGTGTGTGTGTGTGTGTGTGTGTGTGTGTGTGTAAGTGTGTGTACACATTAATTTGTCAGCATATGAGAGAAAAAAAAGTGTTTTTGCATCTCTGTATGTTTGTGTATGAGTGGGCGGGAGGCAGGGAGAGAGAGAGAGAGAGAGAGAGAGAGAGAGAGAGAGAGAGAGAGAGAGAGAGAGAGAGAGAGAGAGAGAGAGAGAGAGAGAGAGAGAGACAGAGACAGAGACAGAGAGAGAGACAGAGAGAGAGACAGAGAGAGACAGAGACAGAGATCGAGATAGAGAGGGGGCGGGGGAGGGAGGGAAAGATAAAGAGAGAGGGAAGAGACTGAGACAAAAGAGAGAAAGAGTACATCTATTCAAAGCCATAGTGCCAGTTTAGTAGTTTTATGTCTAAATATACAATTTAATTTGTGCACTTTGGCAATTTGCAAACAATTTTTTTTTACCTAAAGTCGGCGAACATTGGTATTAAAAGGGATATAACAATGTAATTATTATAATTTTAGTCTTTCTAAAATATAATTATTTATAGAAATGCCTCTAAGGTGAAAAGGGCATGGTTTTTCGTTGCAGTAATGAGAAAGGGAAAAGGGGGGGGGGGGAGGGATATTTCAGGGGTCAGAGGGAGGATGAAAAGATACTAAGAGAGAAAAGTAATAATGCTCAATGGCTGCATAATATGATGGTGGTTTCTTTGGATATTGAAATTAAAACCTTCTGACAGAGTCAATATACAAGAGCTGCTGTTCTTTCCATATGTATAACCGTGGAAAAATGAAAAAGTGTCCATAAGTTTTGTAGAAGGATGTGCATATTAATATAAAACACACATAAAAAAGGAAGTGAGGACTAAAGTTAACATAAATTTGGCTAAAATTATCCTTTCCCAGTTGTCATACCCCATTGCAATGTTAGTGCACTGCGAAGAAAAACAAAACCTTCAACGCACCATGTTATTAACCTTATCCGTACGCCCTATGGGGTCATTTTTTGTACCTAGGGATTGTATTCTTCACATTTTAGAATACTTTTAGTGTGAAGATCTCTTTGAAACTTTTGAGTATTTCTCAAAAAATAATTTTGACTGACTGCTATGCAAAGCGTACGGATCGGAGTAACGAGTAAATTTCCTCTTTGGCAAGGGGTGGCACAGAGTTCCCTATGTCGTATGGATACGATAGTAAAACACGATGTATGGATAGGGTTAAGTTTCTCTTTTGTCACCATGACTCATGACAAACTTTCATGTACAAAAGCCATCACACACACACATACCGACACAACACACATACACACACAGTGACACACACACATGTGCCTGCACACACACACACACACACACACTGACACAACACACATACACATACACATACACAGAGAAATACATTTTCAAAAAACAAGACATTTTTAAGCAAAACATATATACATGCAAAACACATGCTATATCCGTATTACACTCTGAGCAACACCAGCAGAACTACTCACTCAAAGGGAAAAAAAGATATAGAGAAATCTACACAGGTGCAGATAATTACTTCAGAAATCTTTAGTATCACACACACACATCAGAACGGTACATAAAACTAAATTTAAATAAAAATTCAAACACATAATCAAACAACTTAGAGGACTTTTTGTTTTTATCTTTCATGTTCAGTAACTTGTGACCAAAGCAAAGGAAAATGAGATAATACATAAATCAAACAAATCTGAGATATGTAGCCGATTTCAAAACACTTTTGTCCAACAGATAACAATTGTTTGGGTTTTGGGTGTTTTTTTTTTGCTTGTTTTTGTTTTGTTTTTTGTTTTCTGAACATCATGTAATGAATAAAACATCCAACCAAACCATGAGTCACAGCTCGAACAGAAGGTTCAGTGTGAAGAGCTCAAGAAAACTGAGACTAATATGACAAACCACTCTGACTCTGACTCTCAAAGCACAGACAGTTAAACTACTTGAACAAGAGAGTGCAGGAATGAAGTTGGAAACAGCACACAAAACAAAAATTGTAAAACACTACAGGTGAAAGCCTGCACTTTTAGAATGCAGACACAATTTGCCCAAATTATCTTTTTTTTGTCCGAAATAGGTGAAATCATTTCATTAGAACAAAAGTTTCAGCACACAGTACAAATAAGATAAACATAATGAGGGTGCGAAAGTTTTTTGCTTTTTTTTTCTCCCAGATTTTTACTGTGTCTGGTGAGGATTTCAAGGTGAAAGTTGTAGAGAGTAGGCGTACTCACCATGGAACCCGCCTTCTAAACCAGGGTTATCACTGGCAAAGGCTATGAAAGTAACAAGGTCAGTGCTTCGTTTTTATAGAGCCGAGAAATCAACACAACACCCACAGGAACATACGTTGGCACACACAAACCCTGTTTCCCTTAATGACAGCTAAGGAAAATCTTTAAAGCACAAGCTCAACAGAAAAGCAGTAACTTGTTTTAGTAGAGGTTTTACAGCGCTCGCAACTGCATAAGGTCATATATGGGCGCCAGAAGATTAGAGCTGTTACAAGAGAGTAACAAACATAGAAAAGAAGGAGGGGAGATAAGGATGATAGATGTTTGATAGGAAAGAAGAAGCAAACCACACCAGAGCACCCATGAACAACCACCCACAAAATGCAGTAAAATAAGACCACGGCAAGTAATGAGCACATGAGCAAACCATTTCCTGCACTTTAGGTTAATCACATCTAGACTCTAGTCAGTTTGCGGATTGTATTCAGAGCTAAATGTTTGTGTTTCTATGTATGTCTGTTTGTTTGTGTTTCTATGTATGTCTGTTTGTTTGTGTTTCTATGTATGTCTGTTTGTTTGTGTTTCTATGTATGTCTGTTTGTTTGTGTTTCTATGTATGTCTGTTTGTTTGTGTTTCTATGGATGTCTGTTTGTTTGTGTTTCTATGTATGTCTGTTTGTATCTGCTTGTTGAGAGAGGAGAAAAAGAGGATGTAAATACGCATAACATGAGATTAAAAATAGGTTTTGATTCAACGAGTTACGAAACAAAAGAAATATTTGTTGAAGGGCAACAACAAAAATAGGGGTTGGGTTGTGGGCGGCGGAAAAAGAAGGGGGGAGGGGGGGGGGAGAAGGTAGAACAGAAAGAGGATGCGTATTAAGGAGGGGAAAATTTATCAAGTTTATGAAAGACTGGCCTCACACAATGACCTTGGTTTTTTTTGTTTGTTTTTGTAAAGTGTTTTACGGCGCTCGCAACTGCATAAGGTCATATGAGCGCGCGGGACACTCTAATATTTTCAGTTGGTAGGAAATTTTGAATTTTGCCCGGGTGGCGGCCGAAGCCTACTCTTATCAATTTTAGACCACCAAGGGATCTTTAACGTGCGCAACTTGCACACGGGCCCTCCGAGATTTTTCGCCCTTGTTCGAGAAGGCTAGGTGTAGATCTTTCCTACCAGAAGATCAGGGGTGTGACAGAAAGACAGCAGTAAGGAGGAGCAAAGGAGTAGCAGTAGAAAGGCTGCAGAAAGAGTCAGGAGCCCAGAGGAGGGGGCAAAGGAGGTGAGGGGGTGGGGGCAGAAAGTGGAAATGAAAGCAGACAACAGAACACACAATGACCCCCCCAAGAAAACTGAGACTAAGAAGAAGAAGAAGAAGACCAAAAAAAAAAAAAAAGTGCTATTTAACAGACATGGATTTTCTGGATTCCCATGACAGTAGTTACTTCAAGACAGATGCAACAACTGCCCACATTATAGCAAAATAATTCTCCATACTTTACGTGAACCAAAATTGTGCTTGTTCGAGTGTGTACGTTTTATTGTGTGTGGTTGGGAGAAGGGGGAGATTGAAAACTATCTGTAACTAGAGTATTGACATAGACGCGAAAGCAAACGCACAAGGTACATTTTATAAGGCTTTCAGTCATTAGAACTACAATTCAAGTTCATGCACATATTAAGAGCAATTATAAAAAACGAAGCAAGACATTACAATATTATCATATTGATATTATAACACAAGCATAAACTGAATATTCAGGCTGCAAGCAAATTTTCAGTCAATATGATGAAGCCAAATGGATCTAGATATTATAAGCCACAGGGGAAAAGTTAAACTGATAATATGGCAGTCGCCTTACTTCCAGCTCTTTGTTCTTTGGTTACTGCCAAAATATGAATTACCAAAGATTTCATAACTATATATAGGTATACCAGAAGACAATAACACAAACAATGGGAACCTAAGGTTGCATTCATGTTATTGCTCATTAGTATTAATTGTTCTAACGAGACAATTTTATTTCATCAAGGCTATCAAATTCAAAGGTAAAGATTTTTTACTTTAAGAATAGAAATCCGCCTCAGATAATATGACTTACAGTAAATAAACTTGATCCCTACAGCTGAAATTTTTATTTATTTCTAAAGCATAAGCTTTCACATAGCATAAGTAATGGGGAGCCCTGCTTTCAAAGGAGCAATCACGCAGCTATTTTGAAAGCAAAAGTAGCAATGAAAAGAGCCTAAAGTAGCATATTATTATCATTGTCCTTGAAGGGAATACAGATCTATGATACAACAATGTCTAAATACAGACAGAAAGAATTCTACAAACTACCAAGTATCTTTAGCATGCAATTTATTCATAGCCAATTACTCTATGGCGAGCTTGTCTAAGAAAACTAAGGAGTATAAAGTTTGAACAAATGAACTGAAGCGCTGAAGCTTGAACCAAGGTTATACTTTGCCAAGGACTAAAAAAAGATAGGAAATGAGGAAAATAAGGTTGTAAATAATCTATTTCTGCTACAATACAATAAGAATAAATTAAAAGAAACAATGACAGTGATGATGACCAAAATAACCATGAACATGACACTTTTGTTATCTTTGTAGCAACTTTAGTACTTACTTTTCTCAGGAAGGCTGTAGAGCACCACGCTGAAAGTTGCCGTGCCTGGGTCTTGGAAAGCCACACCCAAACTGGACTTGATGGTGGTCATAAAGGACGGCGTGTGAGCACAGTAGAAGGACATGAGGGGAGCTAACGCCTCTTGAGCAAACGGGTACAGCCGCCATACTTTGATGATGTTGTCTATGAAGGAAAAAGTTACATTAAAATGATAATGCTCTTGACCTACTAAGCAATACAATTACATTGGCTGTGTTAGACTATTAGATTGCTTTTATCAATATGTAGAAGGGAAACAAAAAATCATGGATTGTTGGTCCCAATATTAACATGATTAAGTTGAATTATGTCCCTGTAATTGTACTTTTATTTTATCTACCCTCACAACAAAGATTGTCTGATCTAAGTGATCTTTACTCACTCCTCCTTCCTGTTTTAATCACATGTACTCATGCTCATTATGAATTAGTCTTGTCAGTGAAGCCAGAGAGGGCAGACCTCATATCAATTTCTTATTAAATCAACCTTCTTCATCTAGAAACGGAGTTTTTTACTTTTGTCTTATTAAATACAATAATGGCAAACAACCCCAGTGCAACAGGCTGTACATTAACACTTTTCCATCAATTGGCGCATTATTGCAATTGGCACATTATTGCAATCGGCACATTATTGCGCCAACGTCACAAGGTAAAAGGCAAAATAGCTTATCACTTTAAAAAATCACTGACAGATCGGGAAAAACCTATTCAGACCCAATTGATGGAAAAGTGTTAACAGGGACAATAGATATATCAAAAAGGAAGATAACACTGTATGGCTGGTAGGATTGTATTTTTTATTGGGAAGTCCCTTATAGCACAGTCTGTGATCCAACATATTTTCACATAATAATTAGTAAAAAGTAAAGTTGTTCCGGCATCCGATCCGGATATTGGGGATTGCCTTGTTAGTTAGTGAGACAACTTCCTGGGCCTTCGGCATATTGTGGTAGGGTGGCCAGTTCCTTTCCACACCACCTTTACTTCCCCAACTCAAAGCCAGGTACCCATTACTGCTGGGTGGGAAGGAGGGGGCGAAAAAAATCTATGTCCGAACCGAGGCTCGAACCCGGACTTTCCGCTACGGAGACGAGCGCACTAACCACTCCGCCACGGCACCCTCAATAATTAGTATCATTTTATAAAGTGTAATTGTATGACCAATGGACAATCATGTTCATGAGCCAGTAGGTTTTGTCCTGGTTTTCATTTAAAAAGCATCAAAATTGAATAACTTCAACTGCTTTTAGAGTGCCTCTTTGTACTGCAAAAACAGCTTATCTAAGCTTGGAGTAGATGTTAACACCTGGGAAGAAATAGCTGAGGACCGGAAAACATGGAGGAATATTATAAAGGAAAGAACTAAAATACTAGAGAACAGCCTTAGAAACCACCAGGCTGAGAAACGCCAACGACGAAAGGAAAACAGCGGAAATACAGAGCTTCAATCTACGACACTAACATGCAAGCACTGTAACAGAATCTGCGCTTCAAACATAGGAAGAATTAGTCATGAAAGAAGCTGCTTGAAGACGAAAAAAAAAGAAAGAAAAAGAGTCACATATTTGTTCAGAAGATAAAGTGGCTACTCAAACGGGGAGTTGAGAATGTGAACAACCCTGGTACAGATCTATACCAGGATGCTCTTAAACTAAACATGTTTGGGGAGTTGTTGTCATTGCTGTTCACTCACTTGGGTAAGTCGTAACAGAGACAGAAGGTGGTAAATTGAAAGTCTCGCCTCTCAAATAACTTATAGTGTGGTTTTAAATACATACCACATCATACCATACAAAGTCCTTTTTGGATGTCATTTATCCTGCAATTAGCAATAATGCCCTTTATTGTTTCATAAAAGGCATAAAAAAAATTTGACACTTGTTCCATGGTTGCCATGAGTAATAATGTTTTGGTAAAAGTTTTACTGCACTTTCAACACAATATGGCTATATAAGTGCTGAATATTACAGGTGTTACAAGAGAGTAATAAAACAAAAAAGAGATAAGGGATATACAGGGAAGATGCTAAGAGGCCTCAAAAGGATTAAATAAGGACTATAAATAGACTTCTTAGTGAAAGACTCAGCCATACACTTTTTTGAAAAGTGGCGTGTAACAGAGTCTTATACATCTGCCTCCACCCCCTCACCTCCTCTGCCCCCTCCTCTGGGCTCCTGACTCTTTCTGCAGCTTTACTGCTGCTACTCCTCGCTGTCTTTCAGCCACACCCCTGATCTTCTGGTAGGAAAGATCTACACCTAGCCTTCTCGGACAAGGGTGAAAAATCTCCGAGGTCCCGTGTGCAAGTTGCGCACATTAAAGATCCATTGGTGGTCTAAAATCAATAAGCGTAGGCTTCGACTGCCACCCGCCAAAATTTCCTACCAATTGAAAATATTAGGTATGTCCCGCATGCTCATATGACCTTATGCAGTTGTGAGCGCCATAAAACACTTACCAAAAAAAAAAAAGTCTTATACAGAGTACTGAGTAGTCAGCAAGCATATTTAGCTCCCAGGAAAAGACATATGGAAGTTAACATTTCATGAAATATGGACGTAACCAAGACAAAAATTGCGTACCCATTCCTGCAGAGATCAACTGATCGGACTTGGAGTTGGCTATCATGTTCAGCACACCTTTACTTCCGTGAGCCTTGTGTGATTAAAGAGCATAAAGGAATCAGTGTCAGTATATTACAGACATGAGTTGCGTTGAATAGAACTTGATGTCAAGCTGCCACAATATCAATCACATTTGGGCCACAATCAAAACAAAGCACCCACGTTTAAAAACACTGGGCCGAAAAGAAATATTCCAGAAAAAGGGAGAAAAATCATTCAGGACCAAATTGGAATCAAACCTTGAACAGCTGATCATGTTTGTCCTCTACCATGCTACAAAAGACTGGTCAAATTAAATGATTCTTTTACAATATAATTCAGTATAAATAAAAGAAACTTTGGCCATTATGAAAATATGTTTGTTACATAATGTGTGTAATATACTAGCCAAGAGAAGAAAATAAACTTAAGACACAAAAAAAAATGTACATCACACTTGAAGTAAACTCACATCAGCTTTGAAGGTGACCTCTCCAGTGTGCCAGTCAAAGACACAGATGTAGCCGTCTTTACGGCCACCCAGCAGCAGGGTTCGGTTCTTGTTGGAGCTCTGACTCCCTACAGCTTGGATGGAGCGAGTCTGCACTGTGCGCTTCATCATGGCCCAAATATCGTTGGATGCGGTGGGATCCACCACGTACTCATACACCAGGAGATAGTTGCACATCTCTGCGGTGATGTCATGTTATGTAGTAATGCTATGTTTGCACTGTATCACATATCAAGCCAATTTTCAACTCCTTTATCTGCTCTTTTCTAGTTTTTCGAGATACAATATAAATTTTGTATCAAACAGCGCCAACTTCATTGTTGGAGCATGCGTAAATCTTATTGGATTCACTATGAGATTTGGACCATCACACTCTGTCTACTCAAAGTACACACAAAGCAGAATAATTTTTTAAAAATGTTATTATAGCAGAGAACATCAAATGTGAGGCAGCGTGGTGGAATCAGGCTCTCGTCAAAATAATGAAATCGAAGAAAACAGCAGTGTTCTCCCTGCTTAGCAATTTTTATCAAATTTTTTTTTTTTTGGCTCAGCACCTTTTATGCCCATTTACAAACACATTCCTTTGAGGATTTCACCGAAAACGTTGATTAAAGGCACAAAAATATAAATTTACAGTTTCCAAGGACTCTCCAGCTTTGTTATTTACCAAGCTTTGGCGGCCATTTTTTCGCTAATATTTCCTCTTAAATCAGGTGACCCCCACCTCCTACAATCCAAAATATCTCCACTTCTGTTGAAGATGGATGGGTAATTTTTTCATTAAAAGCAAGACAAATGAACAGGCTTTAAGGTGAAACCAATAACTCAATATGCCCAAAAATTGACGAGAGCCTGATTCCATCACGCTGCCTCACAAATAGATCTAGATCAAATCATAAGGAAACAAAAAGAGTCAGAAATGAAAATGACATGTAAAAAAGTTCAGCCAGGTTGAGATTTCGTTGAAGCAGAGGTTTTGTATTAAAGATAAAATATAAGTTAGTACATTTGTTCTCCAGCATCTACTTGTGTAAATATAAAGGCACCAATTGATCATAAGAAAGCTATTAAAATCAGATTCAAATATAAATTTAAGAATATGTTTTCTACTATTTCTGTTCAATTCTTTAAATTCTTCATTAATATTTTCTGCATTCATCTACCCTGTAATAGCGGGGAAAATGAGTAAAATAAACATGAGAGCTGTAACAAGAGAGAAAACCACTGTTCAACATTTTCTTATTCTCAATGGCTGTTATTTTCTTTTTTTTTTAAACAAGCAAAAAAATTATGCCTGAACGGACTGAACAAAAATGCACACACAAACACTAGATGAAAAGGAAAAGGAAAACAATGAAATAGAGTCCAAGAAAGGCTATAAGGAAATAAGCATCGGCAAAAAAAAATGTCCAAGGTTTTCCTCTGAACTGAGGTGAAACAGTATTTTGGAGGTTTGTGTTACTTTCTACAACACAAGAAAGTGGAAGAGAAAAAAAAAAGGGGATACTGCAGAAAAAGAGGATGAAATGAGGGAAGGGAGGTAGGCACAGTCTGAATTTGTTTCTCTAGACGAGAATGTCAAAGAATCTATTGGGAACATGCTAGATGATTGTTCAAGTAAATCTGATGATGCAGAAAATGGTATAGATTTGTGAAGAGAGAGTGCAAAAGTTGGTCTGTAAAAAAAAAAAGAAAATGGAAAGTAATATTTGAGGCTTATTTTGGAGCTACTGACAACATCAAAACATATTTTCCCCTATCCCCTCCCCCAAATCTCAATGGACTTTGGTAAAGTATGCATTTTGACGAAAAGTTCAGAAGTTCACTCATATTTCAGCTGTAAGCTTTAGCGTTCAAAACAGATTATCTCACCCCGCAAGGCCAAAAAATGATCACTTGAGAATTGTATGGAGAGACATTATTATTATCCAATGAGAATATTTGTGACGTAACAACACACAGAAATGTGGTTTCTTAGGAGACTGCGAAGAGTATCTTGGAAGGAAAAGAAATCAAATGAGGTAGTGCTTGATGAAGCCCACATGGGACGCTCAATGTTAAAAACAATCAGGAAACGACAAATGCAGTTTTTGGGACACCTGAATAGACATAAGGGTCTTGAACATCTAGCTCTCACTGGCAAAATTGAGGGTAAGCGAGGCAGGGGTAGGCCCAGAACAACATACTTAGGGAACCTAAACAAATGGGTAACAGGGAAAGATCAGGGAAACGTAGGTTTTCTGAGAGCATCCGAGCAAAGGAATGAATGAAAAATCATGATCGCCGATGTCTGTCGCAGATCTGGCACTGGATGATGATGATGAACAACACACAAACTACTATTACTGCCAGATTTCCTATCAATCCCTTGAAAGAATAAAATAAAGTTCATCTATGAAAGATAAAAATCAATATGTGAGGCATTATGGTGAAATTAGGCACTCATCAAAATAACGAAATGGAACATTTGTCATTTTTCTGCTGGTTCGGCAATTTTTATCAAATTTTTGTTATTGGGCACAAATTTATGTCCATTTAAAAATAAATTTCAGCGTAGATGTTACTGACAAACATTGATTAAAGGCACACAAACTTTAAAGTGCAGTTTCCAAGGACTCTCAAGCCATGGAAGTTGTCAAACTGGCAGCCATTTTTTCACAAATTGTACCCCTGAAACCTGACGACCTCCTCCTCTTTCAGTTGGAAATATTTCGACTTTTATTAAAGACACACTGATTTTTTTTTCCTAGAAAGTAAGACAACTAAGCAAGCTTTAAGATGATACCAAAAACTCCACATGCCCAAAAATAGATGAGCACCTGATTCCACTGTGTTGTGACACACATAAATGTAGGAGAAACACAGACCTTAAAGAAGAAGAAAATGCCAAGATTATTTTCCAAAATAAGTGGCTATGCGGGCTACATTTGTGACAAAAAAAGTTATGAGTAAATAGGCTCAATCAATACACAGGCCTTGATCTTAGGATTGACAATATTTTTCAACTTGGGAAGCTTTTTAGCATTTTTATACCCATTATATTTTCCTATTCCGTGTTCTTTATCTGTGAAGCTGACACAAACACTGTCAAGAAATATATGTTTTACGGTTGAGATCACAGCAGTTATTTTTGTTTACTGTCAGAAAATCACTGCAAAAGACTTCATAGAACTTTTTAACCAACTAACATCATTTCATCTCACTAACTTCTAAAATATTTATTAGACACAATAATGTCCATTTTCTTGTCAGAATTCTCTTACAGGTCCTCTTCATCACTTGTTTGATATGAACAGTTTTGTGGGACAGCCATTTTTTTTTTCAAAATAAACTTCGTTTTGAAAATCGCCTTAACAATTCATTTAATAAAATCAACAAAGAGCCTTTCAATGGTCAAAAAGTAGTAAAATTCAAATAACAAAAGGTCAAACTTTACACAATAGTGTCGACTATCCTGAGAGGATTAGAAAGTTCTTTTTCATTGTTCAGCAAAATAAGGACTAGACTTGAGAGACTGATGCTTTTGGTCACTTCAGATACTTGTACCCTGACATCTGAAGTATCTAAACTGAGTTAAAGCAAACACAATGTATGCTACCAGCAGTGTTAGTTCAAGCAAAAAGGGTATGGTTAATTACAAAAGCTGACAGATGTCTAGAAGTAGGCGTTAAGTAGATGAAGATGTATTAGTATTAGTAAACTGAAACTTTCAAAAGCAACAAGGCAAACTATTCCATCCAGTGAGAGTCCAAAAATTGCTGATACCCATTACGTATCATATTTGATTGTGCAAACAGTACATGCATAGTGTTTGATGAGACACACTAGGAGCATAATATATATCATGTATATGGATACATATATATACACCTCCAACCATATGATCACCGCAAAAAAAAGCGCAACTGTCCCAATAGTGCACCATTGCCCCTCACACATGCAATTATTCTGAGATGTATCTGAGTGCCAGTGTGTCTATTGAACAAGTCCATAAATGGATCAATGGAGTGTTTCTTTGTATCTTTGTGACTGTTTTGTCATTAGAATAAATGCAAAGATTCCATTTGAGGGAGTTGCTCTTTCTTAAAGCTGTGGTCAGAGATTTTCAACTCAGAGTAAGCAGACTATAAATGGGAAATAAGATATGGATTCTTCCAGATTAGAGCTGCTGGCCTCAAGAGGGAGAAAATGTATTTCAATCAAACCAAGCACAAGCACAACAAACCAAGGAAATGGTTTGCTTTTAATATTACCACATAGCTGTCATTTTCTTTACGGCCAATGCAGAAACTTTTTAAAATGACTATTTTTGTTCTAACATGGGTACGTTCTACTGAATTGAACAATTTTGTTCATTATGCTTTAAAAAAAAAATTAAATCAAATCTACCACTCTAAACAGCTAAAGTAATTTAAATGTGAATTCCTTTTCCATAACTTCTTCTGTTATTTTCTTTTCACTTTTTTTATTTAGGGGTGAAAACATATTTTGGCAGAAGAGAAACAGCATTTGTTTTTGGAATGCATTTCTTCCATTTCTCCCTTCAATCAACGGAAAACACACTGGCCTCAATACAGTGCTATAGAATCATGTGTGAACGGGATCTCAACCTCAACCCACAATGTGTGGACCATGATGATCACACCAGTGCAGTGAACAAATCACACCACCACACATGCTAGTGTCACACAGTACTGTTGGTAACAGTAGGGCTGGATACATAAATATGCATGCAAAATTTGTTTAAATAAGTTCTGGAGGTAAGATAAAGAGAGTGTAAAAAGATTATCCAAAGTTGACCTATTCTGTATTGAAAACCCTATATGGGCAGTATGGAAGCTCTAAATGAGAAATATATTTATGAAAATGATTATATAGAATGGAATAATGAGATTTGAAATGGGTCTGTGTGGGGGAAAGGGAATAGAGCAGGAAAAGTTATATAAAGAACTAGTAGAGATACAGAGAGTGATGTTGAGAATGAATTGTCCTATAAGAAGAAAAAAATAGGTAGGAGAAGAGGATGGAAATGAGGGGAGGGAGGTAGGCAAAGATTGAATTTGTTTCTCTAGAAGAGAATGTCAAAGAATCTATTGAGGAACATGCCAGATGATTGTTCAAGGAAATCTGATGATGCAGAAAATGGTATAGATTTGTAAAGAGAGAGTGCAAAAGTTGGTCTGTAAAATAAAAAAAAAGTTTTGGTGATGCTACTGATGGCAATAAAGAAATGGCATTTAAGATGGTGGTGGTAAAAAAACAATAATACAACAGTATGATGACCATGTCAGACAAATAAAAACCATGGAAGGAACACTTTAGCATTAATAAATCTGGATTTTCTGTCTTTGTCCCACTGGGGCATGAGGAGAAGGACAGAACAATAAAACAGAGACAGAATTCTCCTCAGATCCTGAAAGGCGTTCTTAATACCTCTTGGGTTATTGCAAGCCCATCTGGCTGTAATGTTGCAAGGATTCTGGTCTGTCATGCATTTTATGATGTCTCCACTACCTAGCACAGTGAACATGGTGTCTGAAAAATAATAGCGTGAGGCTGTCTCAATAAATTGTGAAGGCAGTGACTATACAAGCACACATATCGATCTCTTCCCTCCAAAGGAATAAGACACATAAATAAGAATAAGCAAAAACAAAATGCAAAACAAAATGCATTGAAACAAAATATTTGATCATTCTACATTTACAATGACTCGCCAAAGAGGAAAGGGGGATAGAAGACCCTAAAAAAAGCAATCATTCATCTACAAATGCGCTGGAAGTCCAACCCTTATTAAGATTGTCGTTCTTCACCTTGTAATAAGTCAAACTGAGCAATGACAAGTTCAATCAGTTTTGAAAAGAGGCAATGCCATCGGAAAGTACACAAAAAATTATTAACCCTATCCATACGCCGTGGGGTCATTTTGTACCCCCGGGGTTGTATTTTTCAGAATACTTGTAGTACGAAGATCTCTTTGAAATTTGTAGTATTTCTCAAAAAATCATTTTGACAGACTACTATGCCAAGCGTACGGATCAGGTTGATGAGTAAATTTTTTCTTTGAAAGGGGAGGCACAGAGTTCCCCCATATTGTATGGATACAATAGTAAAACACGACGCACGGATAGGGTTCAAACACATGTTAACAACAGTTGAAAAAATTTGTGCTACTGATACGAAAGTTTTCATAGGATGCCAAAATGAACCGAAATAAAAAAAGGTATAGATGCAAGAATGAAAGATGTTCAACTTGGTCCTAGGCATACTTTTGGTCTATATGTTAATAAGTTGTACACAAGTATGGAAAAGTACCATTGACTTGATTCTTTATCTTCTATTTTTTTTTCTTCTTCTTCTTCTTCTTCTTCTTCTTCTTCTTCTTCTTCTTCTTCTTCTTTTGTGTTCCTCTATAACAGCTCAGACACAGAGAACAAAAAGTTTTTCAACCTGCTTTTTCAAGAAACTGAAGTACTTGAAATAAGGAAGGTTCTAAAAGAACCAGGCACACCCATAGCACAGGCAAAGAGTTAATTTGGTGAGTTCATACATTTGTATTTCTGCCAGAGAGCTCAGGTTGGCCCTGAAAAGCAGAGTTGAAGCAGACTATCTTCTAAATGAACTAAACTGTGTTTATGAGTGTGTAAAATTTTGAATAATTTCCAATCCCTTACAATCATGTTATATTCCTTAGACACTATAATCACTGTGAACGTGACCATGATCGACATTGTGACCATTTGAAAAAAAGCACTGGTGAGATTTACTCGAAAAAAAAACCCAGTAAATACAAAATGCAGTGAAGAAGATACTATAAAATTATGCTCACCATTGACTCCTTAACACATGGCAGGACTTTGATGAAAGTCAGGCAAAAAAATGAACGAGAGGGTCTTTCAATGCGTTATTCATGACAGTAACGAAAGTAATCATATAGAGTTCTAAAAGTAAAAAGCATCTTAACCCACTGACATTTAGAAGTAAACAAAGAGCAGAGAAGAATACCACATTCAGCTATTAAGTGCACATGTGTGTATACGTGTGTAAAAAAATATGAGCGTTGAAGGTTTAGATGTCTGTCTATGTTTGTGTTTTTAAGAGCCTGTGTCTAAATACACGAGTATGAGAGCACTATATAAATGCAAATGTCTGAGAGCGTGTATGTAAATGCATGTGTGCGAATGTGTAAGTGTCTCCAAATTTTCTTCTCCCAAAAGAAATAGAAAGTCAACTTTTCCCCATAAAAAGAGAGTTTGGCTGTGCATTTTAATTGAATCCTACATCATTGTTCACTGAGAACGAAAATAGGTTTTAAAAACAAACAGAAAATCTTCTCACTCTCAGCAACAGCATAAGCAGCATCAATGAGACCATCAGATGGCTGCAAAAGTAGAGTGGTGAGAACTTCGCCATTGGTCGGACATATTATCCGCACGCTGGAGTCTCGGCACAAGAGCACTGCCCGTGGAGGGTAGGATGGGTGTGTAGTGACCTTGATGTTGTTCACCCGATACCTGCACAAATTCAACTAAGGCGTTACAGGTCAAAGTGCTGTTAAAGGACTCCACAACAAACTTTTTACCATCATCATCGTTTTCATCAATAGGATCATCATCACCATCATCATTCATTTGCACAGTAGAAAAAATATACGGAGACTTGAAATATGTAAGGCAGCGTGGTGGAATCAGGCTCTCATCAATTTTTGGGCTTATAGAGTTATTGGTACCATCTTAAAGCTTGTTCACTTGTCTTTATTTGGATGAAAAAAAATATCGATTTATCTTGAATACAAGTAGAGATATTTACGAAAGAAGGAGGTGGGGGTCACCTGTTTTCAGAGCTAAAATTAGTGAGAAAATGCCTGCCACAGATTAGTTATTTCTTTAGCTTAAGAGTACGTGGTAACTGAAAATTTACATTTTTTATGCCTTTAATCAACGTTTTTCTGAAAATTCATACAGAAATGAGTTCTTCAATGGGCATGAAAGGTGTTGAGCCAAAAAATCAAAATTTGATAAAAATTCACAAACCTGCAGAAAAATGCAATTTTCTTCACCTTGATTATTTTGACTAGAGCCTGATTCCACCACGCTGCCTCACACATAGTTTAGAAAATGTTTCAAATATTGTTCAATGTTTCACACATGTGGGGTTCATCAAGAGCGTTATTGAAAAAACAACCAGACATCATCATCATCGTCATAATTTGTCGAAAAAATAGGGTAGGAAAAGAAAAATGTCTATAATGTTCAGTCAGTTTCGAGTAAACTATTTGTTTCTATTTCACTTAAATGGCTCGACCTTTTGCCTTGAATACTTCCTCAGGAGCAACTAGGAATAAAACAAAGGGAAGAGCTTACATAGTAAATATATGGAGAGAAGGGGCTCACAAAGGAGGTCTCTTAGTTAGTTACCAGCACTCCCCGAAGTGTCCTCAGTGAGAGCCAGGTCAACAGAGTCTCAGGAAACATTTTCTTCTTTAAAACATAGGAAAATGTTTGCTTCATAAGGTAACCAATCTCATATATATATATATATATATCTGTTACGTTGTAAGAATCACACCACGGACTCTGCGCTAACTCAGAATTACAAAGTTCTATCTGACATTTTGGGTCAGAAACCAAATGTGAGGCAGTGTGGTGGAATCAAGCTCTCGTCAATTTTTGAGCATGTAGAGTTATTGAAATCATCTTAAAGCTTGTTCATTTGTCTTGCTTTCATTGAAAAAATTATTCATCCATCTTCAACAGAAGTGGAGATATTTTGGATTGAAGGAGGTGGCGGTCACCTGGTTTAAGAGGTAAAATTAGCCAGAAAATGGCCGTCAAAGCTTGGTAAATTCCAAAGCTGGAGAGTCCATGGAAACTGTAAATTTATATTTTTGTGCCTTTAATCAACCTTTTTCGGTGAAATCCTCAAATGAATGTGTTTGTAAATGGACATAAAAGGTATTGAGCCAAAAACAAAATTTGATAAAAAATTGCTAAGCAGGGAGAAAACTGCTGTTTTCTTCGATTTCATTATTTTGATGAGAGCCTGATTCCACCACGCTGCCTCACAAATGTAGTCTGCTCTATCAAAATCGTAAAAATATTTGGAGCCATTATCAAGATATTCAAAGAATTGCATCTGAAAAAACTCGACATGTTGTGAAACTCTAAACGTTAGACGTCAGATTTCCCATAACTAGGTATTGAGCACACAGAACTTTGTAATTCTGAGGCAGCGACAGGTCAGCACATGACACACTGCCCTCACCCTATGTTGGTGTGTATGTGGAACAGATGCTGCAGTTTCCACAGGTCAACATGTTTCCCTGCATAGGTGTAGAAGATGTTGTAGTTCATCTCAGTGCCCATCCCTTCTATGGGCTCACTGATGGCTGTCCTGTAAAGTAAGGATAATATCTCTGGGTAAATAATTTGTTATATTTGCATACACTACTAGGTAATTTCTGTTTGTTTGTTTCAGTAGAGGTTTCACAGCGCTCGCAACTGCATAAGGTCATATGAGCGCCAGAAGATTAGAGGTGTAACAAGAGAGTAACAAACATGAAAAAGAAGGAGGGGAGATAAGGACGATAGACGTTTGATAGGAAAGAAGAAGCAAACCACACCACAGCACCCGCCAACCACCCACTAGGTAATTTCTAAATCAGTAAGTAAGCTTTAGTAAAGTGTAAAAAAGAGGAAGGGAAAACACCAGTACAGAGATTGGGGGTGCAGAAGATAGAAGGCAGACAAGCACAGTCTGGTCAGGAGCTCACTTCCTCTACAGTAAATTTCAAAGAACTTGCTTTTCAAGGATTTACTGAGATTGCTAAAGCTGCATCTCTGCTATGAACTTATCGCAATGGGAGGCAGAAGAAGACAAAAATTGCAAGAAATACCACACAAATCAAGCATACGAAGTAAATTAAATGGTCTTCAAAAAGATAAAGTGTTGGACATTGCTTTCTTTCATCTTTCCACGAGAAAATAAAGATGAAACTGTTGCAACAGAGAAATAGAACGGCTGTGAGATAATTCCAAGTGCATGCACAAATATTTTTTGCAGGATTTTAAAAATCCTTCCCCTGGTGAGTAACAAATAATCCAAGATGAGGTCTCCTTGAGTTTGTTTTATAATTTATGAGCTGTAAACTTAATTGTTGATATTCATCACGAAAATATTCTCTGAAAATAATTCAGAAGTTTCAAAAATTATCTCCTAACTAGCTTACAAGCCCAACAAGCTTGGAAACTTGGAGTAACATTTTTCCTGTTGACATTTCATGTTATGGTGTTCTTTTATTTCAACGTGATGTATTTCAAACTTTGTTTCATTCTGGTCTCCATCCTTGTTTTGTACCTTGCTTTAGAACTTATGTTGTCAAGCAGACAGAATAAATAAAAAGCAATTTTTTTCTAAACTATAAAAATGAAAAAATGACTTTTCAGCGCCAGAAGTGAAACCGTACTTATCAACTTCATCACAAGTATCCATGTTCCAGACGCGGATAGTACAGTCAAGGGAAGCAGAAATGAAAGCTGGTCCGTGTGGGTAAATCTTGAGAAAGTTGATAGCATCATTGTGGCCAACAAACACCATCTTAACTTTCCAGCTGCTGTCCCAGATTTTGACTGAAATATACGCAAAAGAATAGAGTGTGAGTGTGGTTTTTAAATAAATTTTTTTTAAAACCATTATTAAAAAATTCAATATTGTTATTTTGTTAATTATCTTCATTAATTCCTGCCTATTTTCAAGGCAAAAGTAAACATTGGCCTCCTAAGGACAAGACCATGTTAGGGAGAGACGACACGACATAAGGTACAACAATTCGCAGTTGGCAGAAAAAGTGAAACAAAGAAGGGAGTAAAATAGAACAAAACCGTTTTGCGATACCACGTTGACACCGACACGACTTTCCACGTCACAGACGACACGATTCCCAGAGAACATGTTTCAAATCTTTTGTCCGTTTGTTTCAAGGGAAATAATCTCATCAACTAGTGCCTCTCAGAATTACTTCTCTTTTCCCACTAGTCATCATCAATGCCTTTCACCCCCGTCAGGGTATAGGCCACATACAAGCTCCTTCCATTTATCTCTGTTCTGAGCCATCCTTCCAAGCTCGTTCCAAGTGAGCTTCATTTCTCTCATGTCCCTTTCCACGCATCTCCTCCACTTTTCCCACTAGTTGTCTATAAATAGCTATGAAGCAATGTCACTAAAAGGTAAACAATCGTACATGTCTTGTTGTGCTTTGTGTATTGCAAACATGAATGAAGAACGACTCATTCGAAAAAAGTTCAAGAATTGTTCATCTTCAAACAATTGCGGGTATAAATGATGAAATTCATCGAGTCTCACGCTGTCGTAATATTGGGCGAATACCATATTTTTTAGAATGTTAGCCTATCTATATTGTCTCCTCCTGAACCATAGCAAAAAACAACATCTTTCTCCTGGTATTCACCATGTCTGAAGATAGAAGGTCGTAGAAATTGTCCATTGTTAATGTTGTCAGTTTTTACCATGGATGACATGGACGATTAGAATTGTCATGTTGTCTGTCCTTAACGTGGTCTTACCCTAACCTTGCGCATATCCAGTTATTGATTCAGAAATTCAAAAATAAATGTCATTGTGCAGTTCTAAATATGAACAACAAATGGGTGATTTTTAGGGTACTTTAAAGTTTCTTCTTCATATTTATGGCTCAACCGAGTAACTTTAAAAGTTGAATGTATTTCAATCTTTTCAGCATAGGCAGGCCAAGTCTATACATCATATTTGACACATGAAATGTAATTGAGTTATTTTGAAATTACAATGTGACTTTGTTCTTTAAAGGCTTCAAAACCTGAAAGGCAGTTGTGTCATTTTTTTTAAACAATAAAAGCATTCTAGCATTGTAGCATAACATTATCACATTGCAGTTGGAATATTGAAAACCCAATGGAGGCACTTCAGAGCTTGACAGGTAACAATTCAATTCTGCACATATTGTATCTATTTCAAGGAGAAGTCACACTCAAGTAAAATATATTTTTGCTCTCAATAACCGTGTCTGGACCAAAGGCCTTAACATTGATATAAAGTTTAATTTATTTAAATTCCTCAGTACTCCATTATAAAGCCACAGAAATCATTTTCCAACAACCCACTCTAACTTCATGAATGGTAAGACACATGCACGTCTCTGAAGATGAGAGGAGCAGATAGGAGACAAGTGCACAACAAACACACTACCAGGAACAACAAGAACACACACTCACTGAAAGCAGCCAGTCAGAGTGGATTTAAGGGATATAGAATTAACCATCCGAGAGTGACACTGACGAACTGGGACAGAAATGAGAAGAATACAGAACAGAATGACTCACTGCATCCATCCTTGGCTCCTGTGATGACATACTTGAGAGGGTTGAAGAAAGTCAGGGCTGTGACTGGCTGGGCATGCAGCTCTTTCTTGTGGTCTACCTCAAGACCAGAGAAAATGTTGTACACCTGATAAACAAAAGGAAAAGTCTGTGAATTCTCGTAAGGATGAAAGGTTCAAAGATTTTCTTTCTACTAAGCGATAAGGAGACAGAACTCTTTAAACTCTTCATATTGAGCTTTGGCAAATTTTGACAATGTCTGAAAATCATTTGTGACACGTCGTGGTGAAATCAGGCGCTCGTCAAAATATCGAAATGGAAGAAACAGGCATTTTTCCGCCAGTTTGGCAATTTTTATCGAATTTTTGTTTTTGAGCCCAACACCTTTTATGTCTGTATAAAAACACATTTCCAAGTGAATTTTACAGAAAAACTTTGTTTAAAGGCGCAAAATAGGTAGATTTTCAGTTTTCAAGGACTCTTAAGCCATTGAAGTTATCAAACTTTGGCGGACATTTTCTCACGAATTTTACTTCTAAAAAAAGGCAACCCCTACCTCCTTTAACCACAAATATGCCATCTTCTATTCCAGATAGACGCGTATCATTTATACGGTCAGCAAGACAAATGAACAAGCTTTAAAATTATACCAATAACTCCACATGTCCAAAAATTGACGAGCGCCTGATTAAACCGGGTTGCGCAACATTTTGTCCCAAACATTGAAGGGTACTTTGCCAACCTTGTCAAGTATCACTAAATTTGGAGTTTATATCTGTGTATTGACAATCCTGTTTGACATGAACTTCCTGACAGTAGCTGAAGCTAAAAGAATCATTTACTGATGACCCGTGGTGATCACATAAATAGGGATACTGCCATCTGCAGCACCTTTGATGAGATTGGGAGGGTCACTAACATTAGTGCTTAAGAAGTGTTACCATAATATAGTATCTAACTGTTTGGGCTTAGAAATGTAACACAAATTTTTCTTTGGGATGAATAAAAACTGTGACTTGTAAACATATATGGATGTAATGACCTTTTCCATGGTAAAAAGTAATCAATTCATAAAAGCTTACCACCACTCCATTGCCCTGAGCAAAGAACATACGCTGTGTTCTGCTTGCTGTTTCTTCCAGCACCATCATCTTGAACATTTTCCTCTCTCCAAAGTTGGTCTTTGTTGTCTTCCTTGCGATAAGGTGACGAGCTCCATATCGAAATGCCCAGCACTACGAGTGAAAAAAAAGAATCTTAAGATAAGCCTATTTATTGGGTCAAGTTGAAAAAATACACGCATGGGCATTTTCTTCTTCTGTTTCTTCGTGTTTTCGCACTAGAAGTCAGGGGTTGTCGAGTTCTTCTTCTTCAACCTGCAGCGCGATTGATATTTATGTATGTGACCATTGGCTGGTGCCTCTATAAAGAAATCATTGATGGTCAGGTCAGGTATGTGACCATTATCTTTACTGGTTTCAAATGTCCCTTGCCTTGCAGTTTTTCAAAGGTACTCTACATATTTTTATACTGACTAAATTATTGTTAGTTTAGGAAGAAGAAAAAATTTGGACAGTCTGGCGGTTTATTTCTCGTCATAATGAAAACAGATTGAAAAAAGAGCAAAATTTATACCCACAAACTACGAGATAGTTTCTCTTCCGAACACTTTTTGTAAATTTTTGGGACACGAAAAACTTTATGTAGTTCAGCAATAATTTATTGCAGTAGAGACATTATTGAAGTTATAGATGATCCCAGACAACAAAATACAAGATACATGAACAATTTTGTTATTTAACAAATAAGATACAACACACATAATATGCAATATAATTAAATGGTCAGAAAAATAGTCTATTAATTTATCATGTAATACTAACAAACTAAAAATGAACTGTTTTTTTTTTAATTTGATAAAACAAAATACAGAACTTTAACAATCATAAAAGGTAAAAAAAAAAAAGTTTTAAAAAAACATTTGTATGCAAACTGTAACATTAACTAAAATGGGAAATGCAGCAAAAGCGGTACAGATTCAACATACCGTAATAAAATGAGGTCCAACTGTGATGAGTTCTCCGGTATTGTGGTTGTATGTTCCTAAAAGTATCCGACCAACAGCCTTCGATTGGGAGCGTATGACGAAAGTCCGAGACAGGAGCTGATAGATTAGAAAGTCATCAGTGCAGTGAAGACAAATGTGATTTAAAAATTTGATTTTTATAAGTTTTCTATAAGCTTTTGTGCTGACTCCTGGACAGGCAAAAAATGTTTGCTATAGTATAACAAAACTATGTAAGCAATCAAAGAGCTCAACAGATATCATACTGTTCAGTTCAGCTTTATTTATACATTGTTCATGAGGACCACAACCTATTTATTGTTATGTTGTAGGGGCTAGCACAATAAGAAAAACACATGTGACATCCATGAACGGGTGTTCTGAGACTTTCTTTGTTTAATTGACCTACATTGCATAACACACAGGCAGGAAACTACGACTTGAAATACTATTACCGTACTTGGTGTGATAACTGTATCTAGGACACTACATTTATATAATACTTTAATCTCTCTGGGGCCAGTGACAGCTTCGATTTCACAATGTTTATACTTTCTTTTATTTCCTGTAACTTTATAAAAGGAAAAAAATGCCTATTTCGGTCCTCTAGTTTTTTGTGCCTGAATAAGATGGTATGTAAGTGTAGCAACGTTTGAAAGCTTTAAGGGACATTTTAAGCTAAGTTGAGATCATTAAGGCTTTCACAAATATGCATTAGGTATTTTTCCCTATTTCACAAAGCAGTGGATGCCTACAAATGAACTGTAATTCAACATTTGAACAGAAGATTTGGCTTAAAATTCCAAACTTACAAAAACGTCCTCTTGGCCATGAACCCAGCCAACAAACTGATTCGTCTGATTTGCATAAACAACACGATTCATCCCTTCCTCTGCATCAATGACATCTTTTTTCCTTCCATCCTCATGGAAAAATCTGAAGTATTGACCGTCGCAAGTCAGGTACTCCTGAAGGTGAAAAAAAGTCGTGAAGAAAATGATGGTGTCAAAAATAGGCTGTGGTGCAACAATATCAAGATAGAGAATAAGTGACAGTTCTTAGACATTCATAATAATAATAATAAATAGCATTTGTATAGCGCATATCCCCGCTCAACTGCAGGCTCTATGCACTTTACAACTATTATTACCCGAGCAGACCACAGAACACTCCGAAACATTCTCAGCTTCCCGGGAAGCATACAGTGCAAGCAGCTGATTAAGCGCTCAAACACTAACAAACTGACAAGATCTTTCGCTGTCTATAGCCGGGTACCCATTCCCACCTGGGTGAAGTGAGGAAAATTTGTGTAAAGTGTCTTTCCCAAGGACACAACGTCGGGCCCCTGACGGGATTCGAACCCACAACCTTACGGTTGCGAGTCCGAGAGACTAACCACTAGGCCACCGAACATTTTCCCACCAAGTAAACAGCATACCGGCACATAGAGTGACTACCCTTCTAAAGACAACCGAACAAATTCAATTTTGACTCTATAATATCAGCTGACTCTCTTGTCACATAAGTCACACAATTTTCATTCTCTGCACTCCCTCCTTCAAAATATTCATCACTTGCAGGAAAGAAGGTTTTCCTTTAATATTTACCCAACATCACTTTTCATCACAAAGTGACCAACAACAAAAAAACCTCTAGAAAATACAGGGAAAGAAAGAATACGGGAGCCTCTGAAGATATCATACGTTCAACTTCTAAAAATAAAACCTGTTATTACTGAAAAACAACTATGATAGCTGCGCATCCTGATACTGAAATTGTCTATTCTGCAAATAGTTGAGCTTGTAACAGGCGTGGTTTGGACAGTATTAGATTTAGTTTTAGTAAGAGTTTTACGGCAGTTGCAACACAATAAGATCATATAGGTGCCGAAAGATTAGAGGTGTTACAAGAGAGTAACAAACACAAAAAAGAAGGAGGGGAGATAAAGATGATAGATGTTTGACAGGAACGAAGCAAACCACATCAGAGAACCTGCCAACCACCCACTTGGACAGTATTGCATCACAGTTATCAAGTTCAACTGAAATATACATTATAAAAAAAGAGAGACCATGTAGCATCTAGACAGAAAAATAATATTATCATCTCAATCCCTTGCATCCCAAGGATTGTATAACATTTCAAAAAGTTTCAGGAGGTCAACCATAAATAATATTTCTATCCCCCATCTGAAAAAAATATGCAATAATCATAACATGACGGTCTTTCGAGGTCCACTTGTGAGTGCAACTAGCTTTAATGGCATGGTATATCAACCAACCTTGTGTTCAGAGATGTAGATGACATGTGTCAAGTGCTGCTGATGGTTCAGCTTTCTGTCTCTGTGGATCCCATGTGTGATAACCACGTCTTTGGCTTCTGCTGCCTGCACAGCCTAAACGAGACGGAAAGAATGCAACAATATGGATAGGTTGTAAATAACGTCAGTGTTTTCTTCCTTATTTATAGATCATCCAAGCATTGCTAGTTGAAAAAGTTTATATTTGCACAAAGCTTGCTTTTCAAATTCCCTATTACATATTTGAAAAATGATTAATTATCTGAACAAATTTTTTTTTTTAAGAAAGAGAAACTACAGAATTACAGAATCAAATGCAACAAACAATAATCACTTGAATAAAAATGATGAAGGAAAGTACAATTTTAAAGCAGTTTCATTAAAAAATTGAAGGTATATATTCAAGCATCAATGATGATCGTATGTGTATGCATACAACAGGCAACTCTCTAACATATTGTAAACAAAACATGAAATAGCTCACTTCAATATAAAACAAAATTTTAAACTCTCAAATAGAAATGTAAATTCTGTAAGAAAAACATGTACCTAACAAATGGACCTGTTTACACTATTTGAATAATTAGCAGTGCATGAACATTATAATATTTGTCATTATGTTTCACAAGAGTTCCTCATCTGGGACAGAGTCTAATCATCTTGTTTCCTTTTTCATTTAATTAAGATTATACTGAAAACATTTAATAGCAATATGCTAAAAGATATCAAAAAAGTAATTTCAACCCCCATGCTCAAATATTTACTCACCTCCTTTGCAGAACATACTGAAGCTCTTAGTATGGCCCAGTGGTGAGCAGCTTTGGTTCTGACTTCATTCTGTTTCCTTTGTACGAGAATTTCCAATTCCGTTTTTTCCGTGTTATTTCGTTTTTTCTTAAGATTATCATCTTTTCTGTCTGTGTCTGGACTATCGTCTGATGGCCTGATACTATGGAGTAGATTATTGAGCTTCAACATTTTAGCTCAGCATTTGCAGTCTGCCGCACCCTGTCACAAGGCAGCTATGTAAGATAATGCACTGCTGAGCTGTGGTATAATCTCTACATTATAGCACAGAATCAGTAAACTATGCTCTTGAACTTGAAATCTGAGAAGAAAAATCAATACAAATATTTAAAGTAATCATTCAATCTCTGTCCCAAATATGAAAGCATAAATGTTTTATGCTACTTGAGAACTCATTTGTTCTTTTTCAAAAGGAAAGAGAAGAGTTGCCAGGTTACACATAATTGTTAGAGTAAACGCTGTTTAGACGGTGGTCCGGTTTGTTTGCCTTTTCCTGCCACACGTGTTTGTTTTAACATTACACACAAAAAAATGTGTGGCATTGTGATGAAATCACACCTTCGTCAAAGTAATAAAATTGAAGAAATGGGCATTTTTCCGCCCATTTGTCAATTTTTATCGATTTGTCGTTTTGGGCTCAACACTTTTTCGTCCACTTCAAAACATATTCTTGAATGGATACTACTAAAAAATGTTGATGAAAGGCACAAAAAATGTAAATGTTCTTTTCCAAGGAAACCATGGCACTTTGGAAGTAACCAAACTTTGGAGGCTATTTTCTCAATATTTACTTCTGACACCAGGTTAACCAACCTCGTCCGTTTCAGTTGAGACCTCTTTTCATGAAAGATGGGTACGATATTATAATTTTCTTAAAAGCAACATCTCCATCTCCCCTGTCGGCATCTTATGGCCCTACACAAGTACTCATCAGGGTCTGCATTTCTTCCAAATGTGATTCATCATAGGTGGACATGCGGCCTCTATTCAATATGAAAGCTCCAGTGACAGAAGAAGGAGGAATATCTGAGTCGAAGTGACAGCACCAGAAGCACCAACAACCCTCAGTCACAACCAGAAGTACAAGAAGGCGCATCTGGGACTGAACTCAGTAGCAATAAAACGGCCATAATTGGGAGATTAAAAGCTGCGGAGAAGCGACATGTGCAATGTGATGCCGGAGAATAGCCACACGCTAAAATTAATAGTAGGCTAAACAAATGCAAATCTGATAAACAAGAAACACTGTATTACGGTACTTAAAATTAGAATTAGAACCACTGATAGTTATCTTTTTTTACTTGAAAATTAAAATTCTACTGAACCCATCTTGAAACACAAAAATGTATTAAGGGAAGTCGGCTGGTATGGTATTATAATCAAGGTGTCAACCTTCACTCATTTTTAAAAACCTTAACATTCCACCTTAAATCATCTTTCAAAAATAAAGGTTTTTCAATAAAAGAAGAAAATTAAGGGCAAATATGATTTAACAGGCCACGTACTTTTAATAGAGACAATTTTTTTATACAACTACACATCTTTTTTTTTACAGTAGTCCTGCACTGACCTATTTATTTCTAACCCAACATACTCATACACCAATTACTGCTTTAATTATACTTCATCATTTAAAGTAGATCTTTGTATAAGGATCTCGTAAAATTGTAATTTTCTTTTTCTAAGAAACTCATATATTATGCCAAGCTCCTTACTTAATTATTATTGCCTTTTATAACAATAAACCCAGTCAACCGTTTTTCTATTGTCTAGTGTCTGGCCACAATCTAATTTCAGCCTGCAATTTAAAAAATATAACATCGAATAAACAATAAACAGTGTAGCTTACTATTTATTTCACTTTAACTTCGGATACTTCTTTCTTAGTCTACCCTTGACTTGTGAAGATACACACCAACAAGCGTCTTCTTCAGTATAATACTAGCAAGTGAAAAAGTTGGCATTATTACCACCATGTCCATAGACATTACAGATGGAAGAGCTCGCTTTCAATAATCAGTGTGTAGGGTAGCAGGCTCTTCTATAAGCCGAATCAACGACAAGGATACAACAATACACAACGGCAACGCCATTTTTTAACTTCTTCCCGCAGGTCTTTCAGTTCTTATCGTCTTATGTGCAGACCTGTCTTGACAAACCTGATAACTTCAAGATGAAAAGCATTGATTATGTTAGGCAAAGAAAAGCTCACCTCCAGGAAACTAATGACTTTCCAAATAAAAGCAATACAAACAACTCACTAAATTCCCTTGGCAAGCAAAGGTACATAATCCGAACGAACCTTGTTGTTGAAAATCTCCATGGATCTGCAGCACTAAGTTTGGCTTTTTTGCAGGAGAGAGTGGCACGGAAGTAGCCAAAATTGGATCACTAACTCGATCAAAATATCAACGAAACGAAATATAACAGCGAGTTTCGTTTCAACGGTAAAAGTTTTGCACATTCCACCTTGCTGTAGGCCTTCTCAGTTCGACGTTTTTTTAAGATTGCCGAGTTTTTTCCCCAAGGACACCAACAGACAAAACACTTTATTTCGACAGGAGCCCAAGTTCTCTTCCCTTAATTTAAAAAAATAAGATCGACGTGTACTTAGTAGGCTATGTTTTTTTGGACATTGTTACTTTTAATATCCTTGTTCTACTGGCATCTGTGGTGTAGCCTACTGCTGTGATATGATAAAAAGCATAATTTTTCCGTTTTTGTGGGATTAAAAAAAAAAATTCCACATGATTTCTACATGCCGAAAGACAAATAAGGATATCAATATATGAAAGCCAAACTGTGACTAGTTTTTTAAAAATATATTAGCATTTTAGATTCGTTAAAACGCATTTATTTCCAATGTGATGTGACGAAACACATTTTTTTTTCAGAGATGATCCCATGAAACGCATTTTTTTCTTGCGTATCGACCGTCCTGTCCGCAGTTGTAAACGCTTCACCGTCGCACGCAGAGGACCTGGGGTAGATTCCTATGTAGGGAGAATATGATTTTGTGATTTTGTAAGTCTATCTCGGTTTTTCTGCCTGGACTTCGTAGGCTATCCCTCTCTTTCAGCCTTGCCATAGTTACATAGTATGGCCCTGCCAGACAGGGTCAAAAGTCAAAACCCTACCTCCTAACTTCATTATCGAAATTGTGTCGATGGAGGCGCAAAAAAAATGCACCAACATGTGTATATTATATA